ATTTCTTGTTGCAATAAAAACAGAATGCTTCCTTTTGGATATATTGGACCTTGACCTTTTTCACCTTCTTTAAGCGTAATAGAAGGATTTTTTAGTGCTTCGAGCTTTTTGTTGCCCTTCACCTTGCCTTTGCGGTTATTGATAACAAGTACAAAAATTTTATTTTTTTTATTAATCTCAAGTTGAACTTCCCTCAACATGGACAACGACTCTCTAAAAGTTGTTTACATATGCATCATGTTCATGATTGTCCGAAGTTGTTGGGCAATGTTTGCAATACCGGATCAATGGATAAACTTCAAACTCGGCTAACCTATCGATATAGCCTATCATCATAGTGACATGTTTTTCAACATTATATCTTTCATCTATTTTGGCTCTAAAAGGGTTATTGGCTATATCATAGCACTTATTTCTTGTATTCTCCTTAAATATGCTTTTAACCTTTGCTATGATATCAATGATGCTTGTGCCTTTATGTTATTGTCTATACTCTAACGTCATAATACCCATCATGATACTCTAAGAGGTGATCATATCATCTCTATGTTTGAGTCATGCTTGTATAAACTTCAAATTGATCCTAAAGAGGCTTAGCAAGGAAATGTATCTCTATTGTATAAAAAATCTTCTCATGTCGAAGGACTATCCTCATATTCATTTCTTAGTCAAGAAAGTTTATTCCATTGAAGACATTACTTCCATCAATTATCAATCATATCAATGTATTGCCAATCATATCATGCAATAACCTAATAGGATAGAAAAGCATACGATTTGGTTAGTTGATTTATATTTATAAAACAAAATATAAATTAATAAGTAAAATCTATGTTCGTTTTCCTTATTTTTTTTAAGTTGTATAACCTTCAATATAGGACTTGAGAAAAATTTTCGATTCATTTTTCTTAATAGGTTAGGATCACATCCTTTAACATACATTAACCTTGAGTTATCTCAAAAAGTCACACATGAAGGATTAAGTAGGTCACTCCTTAACAATTGCATCCAATGTAATTCCTAATCTTATTAGCATAACAACTCTTTGTCATTTCATATCTTATGTGAATACTAACCTTTACCTATAAATTTGTTAGACCTTGAGTTATCTCAATAAATCTAAAAATTCATTTCAAGTTGGACCTAAACATTTGAGGATATCACATGGCTCATGATTTGATTCTCTTGAAAAAGAAATGACCTTGAGTTATTTCAATAATTCAACAACGACCAAGAGATTTCTCTCCTTATAAAATTAGAAGATATATAACTTGATATTTGTTTAAAGGATTAGTATAGTATGATCTTATCATTTTAATCCTAACATGTATACTAAAGTTCAATTATATTAATCTCATATTATAAGGCATATTAGATATCAATCGCATTGTAATCATATACATGACTCAAGAACCTATAAATGGTAATGGATTTCTACTATTAGTTGCCTCGAGCCACAAGGAGACTAGTGGATCAAATACTTAGATGAAAACTTATTACATTTTCATTAGGATTGTCTTCTCTTTTTGGCTTTTTCTTTTTATACCTATTCTACTAATCTTTCTTTTACTTTTATAATTCTTGAATAAGAAACCTTGAATTACATTCGAGAGGAATTGATGAGAAAAAAATATATTAAAATAATGGAGAAGGAAGGACATACAATGCCTATTCAATAATAAATTTATATGCATACATTCTCAAATACGAGGTTGACTCATCCATACCATTCACTATACTTTAATCACATTGATACATGGCATATGGACAATTGAAAAATATTTCATTTAAATATAACTATAAATTTATGATTTTGGTCATTTTATAAAACATTAAAATTTCTTTAAATTTTAATTTTTTAAACTTTTGGGCTTTGGAGGCCTACAAGTCGGCTAGCTACTGAGCACTAGTCTTAAGCCCATCGGCCATTGCCCAGCACTAGCCTAGCACCTTCTAGCTCGACGGGTGCCCTCATGCACCTATCGAGGCACCGGTGTTGGCCTAACATGCTCACTCAAGCTTAGCCTTATTGCTCGATGCCTTCGTGTGTGCCTAGCCTATTAGTTGGCACCCCCATGCATGCTTGGACTATTGCTTGGTGCGCTCATGTGCATGTCTAGCTCGGTTTGCACCGGGCATTGGCCTCGCACGCCTCCTCCCACTTGCCTAATGTCAAATTTGAATTTTATAAAATATCAAAAACCATAGATTTATTATCGAAATCAATAATTCATACAGCTTAATCAAAATTAATATCACATATAATTAAAGATTCAAAAAGACTTTAATACTAATTGAAGGATCATGCATCCTATGAAGTTACGAGAATAAATAAATAAAATTATTTTCGTCCATCTAAAGTTTTCAAGATCATGTCGTTGAATAAACTAATCATATGAACATAATCAAGATAATAATAAGTAATTACCTCTTGTAGCATAAAATTAAAGTTTACGAAAAAGAACTATCTAAGTGTTCAACCTCTACTAATAATTCATGCAATCCAAATACTCACATAAGAAGCAATAAAAATTATGGTGTGCTAGCTTCATCTATTCTATATGGTAAATTTTTCCTCTAAGAAATCAATTAGGGTTTTGCGCCAACCTATTTGAGAGAGAGAGTCGGTCAAATTTTTCTTAAGGGAGAGAGTGCTCTTCTTTTTCTTTTCGATGTCTTAGACTCGCCTTTCTCTCCCGTTCTTATTTAAAAAGGCGATAACAACTCCCTCTTAGGAAAGTTTCTTATATTGCATTTCTCTCTCTTTCTTACTTATATGGGCTTTGACTAACCTTATACTTGTAAACTTTAAGCCTTATCCTTCGGTGCTCAAGTTTATCGCTCCACTAAAATACCTTATAAGCTTTTAAATTAAACCTATTGACCTAATTAATTATGAATTAATTTGGACAATCTAAATAAATTTGGTCAAGTATTTTAGTTGGGCCTACTTTAGGACACAATTTGTCAAATTACTCTTAAACCAAAATTAGAAAATTGATTTTCATTTTAGATAACTAACTTTCAAATTTGGAATTGGATTTCAAATTTGGAAACTAATTTTTGACATAGGAAATTAATTTCTATTTTAGGAAATTGATTTTTTAAAAAAATAAGAAACTTTCTAAAACATGAAACTTTTATTTTCCAAAACCTTTACTTCTCTTTTATAAAGTGAATGTTTAAACTTATGTGTGTGACTCAATAGCCTCCTAGATATGTTGACAATGTATCAAGAAGATAAAAAACACCTTTTTTATCTCTTGGTATATAAATCTAGATTGACCTCTAGCAAAGTATTATAATTATCTAATTTTCTATAAGGATTAATTAATCCGTAATTACCTTTTATGAGAATAGTTTTCATATAATTCAATTCTCATGTCAATTTATTATAGTATGATCTCGAACTCGGGTTTATAGCACTCGCTCGATTATGATCGCTTAAGTTTTCTTCAATCACCAAATGTCTTAGTTCACAAGTAAACCAATTATACTCTATTGGTATACCTCAATCGTAACCATAAATTCTCGAGCACATATTTATCGAAGTGCAATGTGATAACTCATTTAGCATATAAGAAATAACATGTCATATCTTAGTCATCGACCTATTTCTATTAGATTCCTAAAGCACCTAACGAATCATTTATATGCAGACTCTTTAATGAGCCAATTGAAATGAATATCAAAGTACATCAATTTTCTAATGAGATAAGCATTGATGATTTCAAGTCAAAGGACCGATTGTACCTATCTCATATGAGATTCTTATAAACTAAACACAATGGGTTCTCAAAGTGAGTCATATCCAAGTGATATGTTCTCTAATATTTATTCACTTGAGTGCTTCCTTTGGCATTACTATGCTAATAGGTGTGAAATCTTATACTAAGGGCGTAGCACTCACAAGTTTTATCACATATAGTCAATGTCCATTATTGATCGAAGATATTTAATGATATCATATAAATGCAAGTAATGTTTGTCTTTCATATATTGATTCATCGTTAATCAATCTTTAATGCAAGTACATATCATATGGACTTCTATCTAATTCTATCAAATTATAAATAATACGAATTAATAGAAATACTTCTTTATTAATATTAAAAATGTACTAATATAATAAATCAAACAATTTAAACATATTGGATTTTGGATATGTACATTAATAGGCTCGCTCGTGTGGTTGAGCCTGCTTCAATACTAGCTACACACCCGAGACTACAACAACTTGAGAAATTAAAAATTCAATTTTAAATTTTCAAAGACCAAAATAATACATTATGTAAAATTTAAATATCAATGTCCAAAAATAATTTGAAAATAACACCACCATTGATATAGTATATCCAGTGCTTTGTAAAGAGATGAATAGTGAAAATTACTTTTTAATTTTTTTAGTAATAAATGACCGTCCAGTTTTTTTGTTGCAAAAATCTGCGATTAAGCTTAACCTATTTCTTTCGGAAGACTAGATATCTTGAACTGGTTCGAGTATCGAAGTAACCAAACTGACTAGAGATAAAAAAAAATTTGGGGTTCGAATTTTTAATTGGGAATTCAATTATATAACGACCACATAGCTCGATTGGTTCTACGTTGTTCCACCTCGAGTACATCCCTCTCACTTGTCCCGCCAAACCATTGCTCCTTGCCCAACGAAATACTTTTCATTTCTATAATAGACCCAAAAAAAAACCAAAGAAAGACGTCAGAATAGTCTGAATGGACAAAACCTAAATCTCCCTGTCCTGTTTTTATCAAACGGCGTTATCACACTTCATAAACCACTAACAAAAACAAAAACAAAACAAAAAGCCCTATCTCCTATCGCTTCCTCAATTCACCTCTTCAGTTTCTCTTCCCTACAAACACAACCCTATCTCCTTGCCCTACCTTACCAGACTAAGGAAAAGCCCCCACCTTTGCCCTTGCTTTGGCATTTATGTGTGTTGTTATACTGTGTTTACAGATAAAAACAAGAACTTGAAGCCATGGCCTCAAAGACCCATGTCCCTGTTTCCGCAACACAAGGAACCACTTCACTACCATCACCTACAGGTTTTCTCCCTATCCGAGCTCCTATTACTATTGATGATTCTCAATCTGATGGTTATAAAACTGACGCCTCTGATAGCAACATCAGTAGTGGTAGTGGTACTAGTAGTAATTTTGATAATGGGTTTGTGAGTGGTGAAGAAGAGTTTGATACTGCATCCGAGAGGCCTTTTTTAGGTGACCCAGATGAGGAAAACAGTGAAGATGGTGGTTTTGGTGGCAGCTATCAAGTTTCTAGGCCTTTTGTGGCTGACCTAGATGAAGAAAGTTTAGTTCTTGAGGATAAGGAGGAGGAGGAGAGTGGTGTAACTGATGAATTTAGCCCAGTTGTTGACTTGGACAGTGCGAATTCGAATGAAGTTAGGCCTATTGCTCAGTTGTCAATGGACGATGATGGGTTTGATGAGGTGACTGGTGATGAGGGAATGATAAGTGAAGTGGAAGATGGAAGGCTTTCACGTGGTGCCAAGGTTCCTAGTTTGGGGGCTCAAGAGAGAGCGGATGCTGCACTTCTGGTTAAGACGCTGGGTATTGAAGAGGATAAAGAAGATGAGTTATTGGTGCAGAGTAGTTCTTCCTCTGAGGACAACCAGTCTGGGTTGTTAATGGAGAGGGATAATGGACCTAACTATGGTGTTTTGGATCCTAAACATGCTTTTGTGATGAATGGTTCTGGTTCTGTTAATGACTCGGGTTCAGTTAAATTGTTCGAGGACAATGCTCATATTGTTACAGTTATTCAGCCCACGAACTTGTGGTTGAATGTTGATTCTCCTGTAACCTCTGAAGGTGATAGAATGGAAGTAGTGCGAGAAAGCAATATATATTCCTCTGGTATCAAAGATGAAGCAACCCGTGATTCAGAAACAATAGGAGGACAAAAAGGCTCACTTTCTGATGATGATATTGAAGAGTTAATTTTTGGTGGCTCTGGAACAAACAATCTCATCATGAATGAATTAGAGCAAAATCTAGCCTTCTCTTCGGGCCCAGGGATTGAAGCTTATCATGATCATCCACAGACGATAGATGGACAGCTTACTATGGACTCAGATGAAGATACAGACGCGGATGAAGAAGCGGACATAGATAAAGAGCCATTAGGAAAACAATTATTTGATTCTGATGCATTTGCTGCTCTTTTGAAAGCAGCAACTGGTGCTGAATTGGATAGAGGCAGAATAGCAGTTAGCTCTGTTGATGGTTCTGGATTATTTGCTCTTCAACGTCCTCCTGGTTCAGGCTTCCCGTTTCGCACTAGGAGACCTGCTCCCCCACCAGATGTGGTAAAGCGCACTTTAAGTGAAGAAGAAAAGAAGATTTTAGAGAAGATACAGCACATAAAGGTGAAGTTCTTGAGGCTTGTCCAGCGACTAGGACAGTCTCCTGAAGATTCTATAGTTGAATCAGTGCTACATCGGCTGGACCCAGATGAAGGGAAACATGTTAGTCTAGAGTTTAGCCTTGAAACGGCTAAGAGTATGGCCATGCAGCTTGAAGCAGAGGGCAAAGATGATTTAGACTTCTCTTTGAACATTTTGGTTCTCGGGAAAACTGGAGTGGGGAAGAGTGCTACCATTAATTCTATTTTTGGTGAGAAGAGAGTTGAGATCAATGCATTTGCACCTTCCACGACTAGGGTAAATGAGATAGTTGGAACCATTGATGGAGTTAAAATCAGAATCATTGACACACCAGGTCTCAGGTCCTCTGTAAGTGAAGAGGCTACCAACCGGAAAATATTAGCATCTATAAAAAAGTTGATAAACAAGTTTCCTCCAGATGTTGTTCTCTACGTTGACCGGCTAGACACCCACGATAGAGATCGCAATGATTTGCCGTTGTTAAGTTTGCTTTCCAGAACTCTAACTTCTTCAATATGGAATAATGCAATTGTCACTCTGACGCATGCCGCTTCTCCTCCTCCTGATGGACCGTCTGGTTCATCTCTAGGTTTTGAGGTGTATGTTGCTCAACGATCTCGTGTTATTCAGCAAGCAATCAGCCAAGCAGTTGGTGATCCGTATCTGATGCATCCAAGTATGAAGCATCCAGTGTCTCTTGTTGAGAACCATTCTTTGTGCCAGGAGAACGAAAACAGAGAAAATGTCCTCCCGAATGGACAAAGTTGGAGACCCCAATTATTACTGCTGTGTTACTCGCTGAAGGTTTTGTCCGAAGCAAGTTTTATATGCAAGCCTCAAGATCTTATTGACCGCAAGAAGCCTTTTGGTTTCCGCTCTTTACCTCTACCCCACCTGGTGTCTTATCTATTGCAGTCTCGCCCTCATCTAAAACTCCCTACTGATCTAGTTAGTGAGGACATTGATTCAGATATGGACTTGGTTGATCTCTCTGATTCGGATGGAGAAGATGAGGATGAATATGACCAGCTTCCACCATTCAAGCCTTTGAGGAAATCTCAGGTTCAGAAGCTCAGCAAAGAGCAAAAGAAAGCTTATTTTGAGGAGTATGATTATCGGGTGAAACTTCTTGAAAAGAAGCAGTGGAGAGACGAGTTGAGAAGGTTGAAGGAGATAAAGAAGAGAGGCAAAGACAGCAATAATGACATTTGGGATGATGTGGACCGGGAAGATGAAGGTCCAGCACCAGTGCCGGTTCCTTTGCCTGACTTTGTCCTCCCATACTCGTTTGACAGTGACAATCCTTCATACAGGTACCGGGTTTTGGAGCCTGCATCTCAGTTTCTTGTTAAGCCAGTTTTGGATGCCCATTCCTGGGATCATGATTGTGGGTATGATGGTGTTAACATTGAAAGTAATCTTGCTATTGCTGGTCGGTTTCCTGGTGCGTTTATGGTTCAAATCACAAAAGACAAGAAAGACTTCAGTATCCAATTTGATTCTTCAGTTTGTGCAAAGCATGGAGAAAATGGATCAACTATGGCAGGATTCGACATCCAGACTATTGGTAGGCAGCTTGCTTATATCTTGAGAAGTGAGACCAAACTTAAAAAGTTTAAGATGAACAAAACATCAGCTGGGATATCTGTTACTCTACTAGGTGAAAATGTCGCCACTGGACTCAAGATTGAGGATCAGATTACAGTTGGAAAGCGCTTGGCTTTGGTGGGAAATGCTGGCACTGTGAGATCTGGTAGTGATACTGCCTATGGAGCCAACTTTGAAGTGCGCCTCAAGAGTAAAGATTTTCCCATAGAGCAGGACCAGTCAACATTAGGTCTGTCCTTGATGAAGTGGAGGGGTGATTTGGGTCTGATGGCCCAGTTACAGTCTCAATTCTCCATTGGTCGGAATTCCAAAATGGCTATCCGTGTTGGAATGAACAATAAGCAAAGTGGTCAGATCTCCATCAAGACAAACAGCTCGGAACTGCAAGCTGCACTTATTGGTATTGTGCCAATTGCAGTGTCCCTCCTTCGGAGTATTTATCCCGGTTCTAATGCAGGACGCTCAAATATACTAGATTATTAAGTGCTTTTTTCCATTTTATTTAGTGCTATTAGTCATCACCTCAGTTTTGATTGGGAAATAAGCACTCAGCAAAGGCTATTCACTGTCTCCCATATGCTTATAATTACAACAGCTTTGTTCATTCTGCTGGACAATTTATTTATTTTTGTGGGCTTGCCAAGTTGTTACATCACGAGATGAAGCCTACATATAGTGCTTTATGAAGTGGTTTGTTAATTCTTTTGATCCTTGTTTTTACTGGCTATCTTAATTAATCTGTTAAAGAGCATGTAGGCAAGTGAAACACAAAATGAAAAAGGACTTGGTTTATTGTATTTTTTGACAGTGGTTTACTGCTCTATATCTAACACCAGCCAAGTTTATTCGTATTTGAATTCCAGCTATCTATTTGTATAATATACAGTATCGCACTTCGGATTCATATGGATTTTGTCAGCCTGCAAGTGTCCTTTTGATAGGACTTGATCATTGTCAAATGCGTGATTCCTGGTTTTGTCTGGTGTGTCTTGGTCCCTTCTTGTGGCTGCTGTATCTGCTTCAGGTTCCAATCGAGTCTCTGTTGCTTGGGTTTCTGATTTGTCTAGTTCCTAGCAGCCTTGATTCTGGGTTGAGCTGATTGCCTGCTTGTGAGTTTGTGTATAGAACTTTGTAAAATTACACTAATAAAAATTAGTGGATGTAATCTAGATAGCCCAACCTGGAATTGCTACCTATGAAAGAGAACAGGATGAATTTTGGAGAACAAATTTCCAGGTTTCCTAACTGTTTGAAGGGAAAAGTGAGAATTCATTCACTTTTGCCTTTTTTTCCCTCCATAATAAGGTGTGGGATCAGCTGGGACCTTGCGGGTATGGGAACTTGTCGTCTTTATTCTCTTGTAGTCATTAATTAATTGAGTTCCGTTCTTGTTTCTGAAATTTTGGATCTTTCGATTAGGGTGGTCTTGTAGATTTGTTCTTTAATTGGTTGGAATTTTTCTTGACTTCTCAATCAACTTTGGCAGGAATTGACTAAAATATGTATGGTACTTTATCTTCTCCGCATATGTTCTATGTTTAGATAATAACAATATTACAGGAATATTAGTATTTTCAGTGGAGGAGTTTTGAAATCATGACCTCCTTCTTTCCTTCCAAATCTTCATTTCAGTTGGAAATTCTCTCTTTTGGTAAGAACATAGCAAAAAATTCTGAGCCGTTTGTTTTGTGATGTGAGATTTTGTTAACCTCTTCTAATGTGTTTCTTGTTTCCTTGCCTCAACTTTTTGAGGCACATTGCAAGTGCATATGGAATGATGGCCGTTGGGAATGGGCAATTGCTCCTGGTGTCTCTCCATCAATTTTGCTACTTTCCGTAAAGGTTAACTGACTTGCTACTTTCCGTAAAGGTTAACTGCTCCTCAATTTTGCAATTTGGATCTTAATGTGAGGCTACATGTAACTGGACTCTGGAGGGGAACTTGGTGGTGGTCGCATGGTGGAAGATTCATCTAGTGTTGCAGGTAAATCCTGAGTTTGCAATCTTCAGGACTTTTACCAATGGTATTTTATGAGATGGTTTTAGACACATTACTCGGAAAGATAACTTGGCCTGTAAATACTTAACCATCTAGTCAGCCTAACTGGTTGAAATTGTCTGCTTTTCTGGTTAGATACCTGATTTAGCCAGTTTCACGTCGTACATGTAACTATGAGAGAAATGTTATTTCAGCTGAGTGTTATGTGGTCCTATCATATTATGGATGCAGAACTCTTGCAGCTGGTATTGAAAATAATGAACTATTTTCATATATTTGATGCTGCAAAGTTTTATAGATTTTTTTTTTTTTTTTTGGGTCCCTGTTTCTGCATAGTTTACATCTAATTACGTTGCATCCAATACATCATCATTTTCATTTAGCATTCATTGTGAAGTCTGGAACAATCTAAAATCCAGTTCCAGTGATCTTGTTGCTAGTAATTAGATTGCATTTTTTTTCTGTGTAATTACTATAGTGTGTCAATAACTGAGTCTACCCTGAATTCTAACTATAACATCATGTTTTCCCACATATAGTGTTGGATACTGCAGCAGGAGTTTGCTGTGATACAAAATTCCAAGGACTGGTAGTGGTGGGTACAGTGCTGGTGCTGTTGGTGGGGATGCCGCAGTTGAGTTAACTAGGCATTGCAGTTGCTGCAGTTGGCGACTTGATGTTTATTTATGGTGTTTTAAGTGGTGGTATGAGATGATCCTACTTCTATAACAGTTGCCGCATTTGCTTACCAGTTTTCTTTTGGCCTTTTGACCAGCATGCCAACGCTATAAAATAACTGTATAGGTAAATTCTGTGTTGTGATAGGCAAAAATTATCAGGATGTTGTGGAAAGATGGACGAGCTGGGGACAACTGTTAGAGGATTTTACTTGATGCTTGTCAGTAGGTTCTGAAATGGAATGTGAAAGGCTGAATATGACATATTGCTAGAATTCGGTGGAGTAAATTGGACAAGATATGGGATGGTGTTAAAAACTCGATCAGATTTGGTAATATATCCTGTATAGCTTTCAATTGGAGTAATACGTTCTTCAGTGCCTTACGGTTTTAGAACAAGCATTCTGAATTTCCTGGAGAAGCCTGAACGGGGCTGGAACTTTTAAGACCAATTATAAGACAAACCCTAACCCAAACCAACGGGCTACAACGGAGTCTGATTTAGTTTTATTTTGTTTTTCTTTCTGAATGTAAATGATCGATAAAGAGGCAAATTATGTTTAGCTTGCAACTAATACTTTTAAGAAATCAATATTGGATATGGTTCATTAAAGCTTTTCTAATTCATTGGTCTTAAAAGTTGCATCACAACGAGTTCTCCTTGTCCTAACGTTTCATAATTCACAGTATTGTTGCATAATAACACGTGTTTATGCATAGGGATGTTGCTAGTTGACCTACTTGTTCCTGAAGATCTGGCTACTTGATGATGAGAATCTAAATGTTAGAAGAACTGACTGTGGGCTTGAGCTTGAGGAGGCCAGACCATAGGCCACATCAGAAGACTCAGTCATATGGGCTAAGGTCAAGAGAATCCATGAATCCTTGAATGAGCTTATTCAAAGAAAATGGGCCGAATTCATTGTCAAAGGACCAGAAGACCATCAAATGGGTTTAGTGAATTTTGTCCAAGCTATTGGGTCGGACATACCAATCACATACCAGGCTTGAAGACCAATCTTCATTAAGTAGAAGTTCATCCATTTATTTTGCTGTTTAGGCCGAGAGCTATCTTTGTTGTTTTTTTGCGCTAACAGTTACATTACTGCTTTGTTGTTGATTCTACCGAATTAATCTAATTTTCAGGTCAGAATTGCATCAAGATTTGGACCTCTTTTTTATGTGCTATCGAAATCAAAGTGTTGCTGCTGCCAACTTCAAGAAAGACTTAATCAATGTTTAATTATTGTTCCATTATGGCGTTTTGTTGGTTCTTACGAAAACATTAATTACTTATTACTCTAAATTTTCCTAACTGCCTAATTAGGCAAAATAATATGTAATTTTCAGATAGCCAAATTTTGAAATCAAAACAATTATTTATAAGAAATTCACACCTAAGTTTTCCAAGAATTAATTCAGAATTTATCAAAAATCTAATAAATTCTTCGACTTTCAAAATCGACTTATCACTCCTTTTATATCTATTTTGGAGTATGACGTCCATATCTTTCTCGGATCCGACTTGACTTGTTAAAGATTTGTTCAACTTGTTCTTGGGTTTTTTAGCCATGAGCTAAGTTGGGATTAGAGCACAAGTTCCAAACGGGTTCTTTTTTTTTTTTTTTTTAATCTCTATTCCTTGTAATTTGTTTAGTCTAATTCGAGTTTGTCCAATTTTTATTTTAAAAAAATTATTTGTTCTTTTTAGTTTTGTCCGGAAAAATAGCTTATGTGTGTTTGTCAATTGTTGTTTTGTTCAATTCGGTGTGTTTAGAGTGTCAAAGACCAAAGTCTTGTCTTATGTCTAAATTCTAAAACTCATTTCTTCTATATCTTCTTGCTATCAAAAGAAAACCAATGGCATTGCACTTAAATCGTTCCAAGGCTACCAAAATTTGTTGTGCTATATACTATCATTTAAAAAAAAAAAAAAAAAGGCAGTAGTAAACCGATATCACTTTATCCGATATCGGTAGTATAAAAAAAAAAAAAGAATCAGATTGTCCAAGTTAGGGGCGGTAGCTAAAAGAGTGTAGAATTTTAGTTTGTTAGCTATTAAAATCGAAATATGTTGTCTAAAACTCTTCTTGTTAAATCGGTTAACCTATCCATTTCGTGAGTTTAGTTGATTTAGGGTTTAGATTGAATTCTTTTTACTCTAAACACTCCACTTGGAATTAAGGAACAAAATCGGTACTTAAAATCTAATATGATCGAAAAGAGTATTAGTCCAATCTAGACAAAATTTCCTTTTGAGTGTTCCAAAATTGTGTTTAATCACTATCTTGAAGTGTGATTCATTCAAATTCGGCTTTGTTGCTATTAACTCTATCCGAAATCTAGCTGAATTGGTTAACTAGCTTACTCGTGTCTTTGTTCTAAAGCTATCTAAATTATTGTTTGTTCTAAATATTTTAGATTATTACTTATGCTTGAACCTTTTCGAAAACCACGCTCTAATGGTTGTGTTAATTTATTTGTGAAATTGTTTGCCACTTACAATTTGTTAAATTCTTTTGTAGTTTGGGTTAATTTATGGAAAAACCAAAGGAGTGAATTTGAGTGGTAATAGGTAGGAGTGTGTGAGCGCATTTCTACAAAATGAGAGTGAAGGTGAGGGTTATGCCTTGGTTAGGGAGTCATTAGTCATTTTACTTGATTTAAGCATGAAAGTGAAAGATGTGGATGATGCACATCGAGATAATAATTTTCATGCCCATTGTCATTTTAATAAAGTATGTAGTCCGATCATAGATGGGGATAGTTGTGCTAATATTGCTAACACTATGTTAGTAAAAAGGATTAAGTTGCCACCATAAAACATTCTAGGCCATATAGATTGCACTTGTTGAATAATAAGTGTGGAGAAGTTAAGGTGAATAAGCGAGTGTTAATGTCATTTTTAATTAGGAGATATAATGATGAGGTATTATGTGATGTAGTGCTATTACATGTGAGTCATATCTTGTTGGATAGATTGTGGTAATTTGATAGAAAGTAATGCATGATGGGTTTAGAAATAAGTATTCTTTTGTCATAGGGGTCATAATGTAGCACTTGTACCTTATCACCTCAACAAGTTTATAAGGATCAATTGAGATTGAAAAAAGACAAGTGAAAAGAAAAAAAGTGAGGCCGAAAGAAAAATGAGAGGAAAAAGTGATCGAAAAAGATAAAAAGAAGTCACCGAAAAAGAGAGAGAGAAAAAAAAAAGAGCTTTTTTTTTTTTTGCAAAAGAGAGTGATACCGAGGGAGCTTATTTTTTTTAACAATCGATGATTGAACTTTGTACAAGAAGGCTTATTTTAATACTAAGGAACTTGACCCTACTTTGTTTAGTGTTGTTGTATCTTTATTGTAAGAGTTTAATGATGTGTTCCAACCAAGTGGATTGCCCCCCATTTAGGAGAATCAAACACCAAATTGACTTTATTCCTAGAGCACCATTCCAAAAAGGCTAGCATATAGAAGCAATTCGAAGAGACTAAAGAATTACAACAGGAAGTTGAGGAGTTGATGAAGAAAGGATACGTGACAAAGAGATTCAATCCATATGCGGTTCCGAGTGTTACTTATCCCAAAGAAAGACATAACTTAAAGGATATGTGTTGACTCTCGAACAGATCAACAAAATCACTATAAAGTATCACCATCTCATTCTTAGGATAAATGATATGTTGGATGAATTGCATGGTTCTTATGTGGTTTAAAAAATGATCCTTTTGATTTCCACTTTAGACTTTGCCTTATATCTTGGTGGGAACTTTTTGCAAATATTGTTCAACTATTAAGCTTTTAGTTTTTTGTCAAGTCCCTTATCAAACTCATTCCATCACTTATTTTTGCATTTTGCAATCCCCTTTCCTATAACTTTTCATGTAGTGTTCTATGATTTTGCTCTTTAACCTATTTTAATGATGTTTCGCTTTCTATTATGCTACCGAAATACTTAGTGTTGCTCCCGTAGTTTAATAGATCATAGTCTGCTAGTTATATTAGAAGCTTCTCTACCTTTAATTACATGGGTCGTCATATCTTAATGAGTTTGTAGCTTATGCAATACTTTTGCACACGAAAGTCGTGGGGCTAATTGTTTTTCTCACTAGATAGTCTTGCAATTTCCAAATTTTTCTATCTCTTAAAAACAATATTAACTTCCTTATTTTGTTTTTCTAGTTGCATTGATGTTCCCGACAAGTATTCGGTCGGATGTTGTTTTCTACAAGGTATGATTGACATAGAGATCTCAGCACTTTCTTTTTCCGTTGTGTTGTTGTTTAGGGATGGCAATGGGTGGAAAGCAAGTCCACTAATTTAAATTTGTTTATCCTATTCATAAAAAAATATCTTATCTATCATTTGTTGAGAAATCGCTATATAAATTTTTATCCGACCAATACTCAGCCCGTTGTAGTTTACCTAGTCATTTAGCACCCATTTGATATAGCTAAAAATAATTTATCAAAATATTCACTTTAATCCTTATAATTTGCAAGAAATTTTTTTTGGTCCTTAAAATTTATTTTTTTACATTTTGATATTTTCTTTATAATTTTTTTTGGTTCACAAAGTTTTTGAAAAAAATATTTTGGTCTTTAATTTTTAAAATTTATGCAATTAGATTCTTTATATTAAAAAAATCAAAATAAATTAATGAGTATTAATAAAGTAAAAAATGAGTATTCATGTCTTGAAATCATATTAGTAGATATGTATTTTTTTATCTATTTTAATATTCATTCGATATTTTTATTAAATATTTATTGAATTAGATAAAACGATTATGTCATACCTAGTTGCTGTGTCGATGAATTTGCATAGAACAGATACTCTATTTTCGGAGGTCCAGACTCCAGAGGCAGAATGTTCCTCGGATGCTTTTGCTACACCATCCGTATTTTGTGACGAAGTTGGGGCTTGAAAATTTTGCGCCGTCTTCATGTTTTTGGGCTTTTAAGCCTTTATGTTGTGTTTTGGCCTTGTGTCATTTCCTTCATTAATTCCTCTTTCCACCTTCTCTTGATCTTTTTTATATTCTTGTATTACATTAAATGTGCGGCCTTTGGTAATTTCCTTAAAAGAGTTGAGTTCCACTTCTTCACAAACAAAAAAAAAAAAAAAGGCCCAATTTCCACTTTTAAATCGTATTTTAGAAGCCCAAAAATATTTTTCTTCATTTATGAGGTAACGAGTTACGAGCCCTATCTTCCGACGGCAAACAAATCTTCGCGGATAGCATGTTAGCTTGTGATACATAAAAATTAACGTTGGCAATTACAACATTAAATCCAATGATTAAATTAATTAAATCAGGAAGGAAAAAAAAAAAAAAACCTTATATCTCGATGCTACTCTTTGAGATCCATTATATTATAAACATCCTTCCTTGACGTGTAAACTTATCCGACATGCGCTATTCTTAAAGCATTGGTCTGGAAAAGGACTTCAGTTTCTATACAAATAATAATAATAATAATAATAATAATGGAAATAAAATTATTTGGTTTTAGCTATCCACAAATTTATCTCCACCCTTGTATTTCCAGCCTCAAAAAAACAGCAGTAGTAGAAATGTCTACAAATGTAAATATAAAGCTACCAAATATCTTTTCCTTTATCAAAACACAACTCCTTTTCACCTACGAACTCTACTCAACAAAACCCAAACGCTATCATTCTTTTTAGCTTATTCTTACCTTCACTTTTTATGCTGCTTATAATTCTGCTGTTTAGGAGATAAGAGAGAAAGGTACTCTTGAAACCTCTTTGAATTGCTAGTGATGTAGATTCAGTATACTTCATTTTTATTGTATTTATCTGCTCTTTTTTCTTTTTTTTTTGTGCGTTGGGTGTTTTTTTTCTGTGATGTTTTGCACCCTATCTGCTTGATAAAATGTCGCAAAGGGAGTTTAAATTTATTAAATTGTTAAGAGTTTTGCTTGGTTGTTGTGTGTTTGTTACACTTGAACCCAGATAAGGTTGTGATCCTGCTTTTAAGATAAATAGGAATTTTTTGTCGAGAGTTTTAAGAGATGTTTTGCAATCTTTTGGAATTTTGCTACTACAAATTTTTTAAGAAGTTATAAGTTGATGTTTTTGTGACTTAACTTATATCTGGTTCTTTGAAAGAAAAACCAGAAAAAACAAATGATGAGGGCGTTCTCTTTTAGTTTGGTTGGTGGCATAAAAAAAAAAACCTGCAATCATGGAGGAACTTGTAACTCTAAATCTTCCCAGTTTTTTATGCAAATTTAAATTATCCCCATAAAAAGATGAGAAAATTTGCAGAATTTTTTTTTTTTTTTTTTTTCTCCAAAGAGAGCATGTTGAGCTTGGACACTACTTCCTTTAGTTTATAATTGGGCGGAGCGTGTGTGATTTTTATCCAAAGACATAATAAATAATTTTAAAACAAAGTTTGTTGATACCTTCCATCTTTTCTTTAAATAAAATGAAAAGCTAGAACTTTTGATTTTAAACCTTGAAGCATGATATTGTTATTAGTCGCATTCATTATCTTGTCCTTAAATATATTTTATTTATCAATAAAAATGTATTTGATATATATAGCTTTACCATGAAATTATCTTTGTTTTCTTTTCTTAGTTTTGATCCCTCGTTCTTCCTTCGTCAAAGAATCAGTCACTAAGTCATTGGGTCGAGGCGTATTGATGTTTTGACTTGGTGCATATGGGATTGGAAACATTTTTGTGCTATTTCAAATATGTTTATTTTACTATGTATGCCATGAGAGATTCTGAGGGTCAAAATTAATTTATCTCAGATATTTTTGAAAAGTTGATGAACTCTCAATGATAAGGTAGAATTTTCTTAACTTGATGAATTTCTTATTTGCTTTTCAAAGATGGCATGCCCATCTTGACTGCCAAAAAATTAAAATAAATTTCAAGGATGTAGTTGCTTCATGTCTATTTTCTGATAAGGGTCATGTTGTTTCATCACAGGTTCATGTTGAGGACATAAGAAGTTACTTTCTGGCGGTGATCTAGGGATTTAATTTTTGGGGTTTCAGAAGAAAATATCATGAGTGAATTGGAGCAAAGTTTAGCCTTCTCTTCTCCTTCAAGGACTGAGGTTTCTGATGATCAGTCAGAGAAAATTGGTGAGCAGATTACTGCAGATTCAGGTGAAGAAGCAGACACTGTTAAGGTGCAAATGGGAAAGGAATCAATCGATTCTCCTTCAGCTACTGGGATATCTCATGATTATCCGCACCAGCAGATTATTGCAGATCCAGATGAAAAAGCAGACATACTTAAGGAGAAAAGCAGAGAGAAATCATTGGATTCTTCTTCAGGGAAAATTAATGAGCAGATTATTGCAGATGCAGATGAAGAAGGAAACACAGTTACAGAAAAAATAGGAAAAGAGTTGTTTGATTCTCCTTCAGGGACTGAGTTTTCTCATGATCGTTCACAGAGAACTAACGAGCAGATCATAACTGACTCGGACGAAGAAGCGGGCATAGTTGAGGAGGAAATGGCAAGGGAATTGGCAGACACAGTTAAGGAGCAAATGGCAAAGGAACTATTTGATTCTCTTTCAGGGGTGGAGGTTTCGCATGATCATTCACAGAGAATTCATGAGCAGATTATTGCAGACTCAGATGAAGAAGCGGATGCAATCAAGGAACAAATTGGAGGGGAATTATTTGATGCTTCTTCGGGGAGAATTGATGGGCAGATTTTTACAGACTCGGACGAAGAAGGGGACATGGATACGGAGCAAATAGGAAATGACTTATTAGAATCAGATGCATTGGCTGCTCTTTTGAAAGCAGCGACTAGCGCTGGTATGGATGGAGGCAGAGTTGCACTAACCTCTCCTGATGGTTCGAGAGTATTTTCTCTTGAACGTCTTGTAGGTTCAGATTCCCCGTTTCGCATTGTGAGACCTGCTCCGCTATCTGAAGCGGTCGAGGATGTAGTGAAGAATGATTTGAATGAAGAAGATAAGAAGGTGATTGAGAAGATACAGCAAACCGCTGTGAAGTTCTTGAGGCTTGTCCAGCGACTGGGGCAATCTCGTGAAGATTCCATTGTTGCACAGGTGTTACACAGGCTGGTTGTGGCTGCAAGGGCACATGTTAATCAAGAGTTTAGCCTTGAAAATGCTGAGAAAATAGCCATGCAGCTTGAAGCTGAGGGGAAAGATGATTTGGACTTCTCTTTGAACATTTTGGTTCTGGGGAAAACTGGAGTGGGAAAGAGTGCGACCATTAATTCTATTTTTGGCGAGAAGAAAGTCGAGATCAATGCCTTTGAACCTGCCACAACTATGGCAAAGGAAGTTGCTGGAACTGTAGATGGAGCTAAAATTAGAATCATTGACACACCAGGTCTCAGGTCATCTGTCAAGGAAGAAGCCATCAACCAGAAAATATTAGCATCTATAAAAACCTTAATAAAGAAGTTTCCTCCAGATGTTGTCCTCTATACTGATCGGCTAGATACCCACTCAAGAGATCTCAATGATTTGCCATTGCTAAGATTGCTTACCAAATCTCTCACTTCATCAATATGGAAAAATTCTATTGTCACTCTGACCCATGCCAGTTCTCCTCCTCCTGATGGACCATCTGGGTCTCCCCTAAGTTTTGAGATGTTCGTTGGACAAAGATCCCATGTTATTCAGCAAGCCATCAGTCAAGCAGTTGGTGATCTGCGTATGATACATCCAAGAATGATGCATCCAGTGTCCCTTGTTGAGAATCATCCACTGTGCCAGAAGAACGAAACCAGAGAATATATCCTTCCAAATGGACAAAGTTGGAGACCACAGTTATTACTTCTATGTTATTCATTGAAGATTTTAGCAGAAGCAAGTTCTATAGCCAAGCCTCTAGATCCTTTTGATCACAAGAAGCCTTTTGGTTTGCGTCTCCGCTCTTTACCTTTACCCCACCTGGTGTCTTCTCTATTACAGTCTCACCCTCATCCTAAACTTACTGCTGATCAGGGGGAGATGACATTGACTTGGATATTGACTTGGTGGATTTATCAGATTCCGATGAAGAAAATGAGGATGAATATGACCAGCTTCCACCATTCAAGCCTTTGAAGAAATCTCAAGTTGCCAAGCTCAGCAAAGAACAGAAGAAAGCTTATTTGGAGGAGTACGATTATCGGGTGAAACTCCTTCAAAAGAAGCAGTGGAGAGAGGAGGTGAAAAGGATGAAGGAGATGAAGAAGAAAGGCAAAGATGGCAGAAATGATTATGATGGCATTAGAGAAGATGTGGACCAGGAAGATGTCAGTCCAGCGACTGTTCCGGTTGCTATGCCTGACTTTATCCTCCCACCTTCCTTTGATAGTGACAATCCTTCTTACAGGTATCGAGCATTGGAGCCCTCTTCTCAGTTTCTTGTGAGGCCAGTTCTGGACTCCCATGGGTGGGATCATGATTGTGGGTATGATGGAGTTAGCCTTGAAAGAAATCTTGCTGTAGCTGGTCAGTTTCCAGGTGCATTTGCAGCTCAAATCACAAAAGATAAGAAAGACTTTAATATCCACTTAGATTCTTCAGTCTGTGCAAAGCATGGAGAAAATGGATCAACCATGGCAGGATTCGACATTCAGAATGTTGGAAGGCAGCTTTCATACATCCTGAGAAGTGAGACCAAATTCAAAAATTTTAAGATGAACAAAACATCAGCTGGGATATCCATTACTCTGCTGGGTGAAAATGTAGCTACTGGACTCAAAATTGAGGATCAGATTGCTGTTGCAAACCGCCTGGCTTTGGTGGGAGCTGCTGGTGCTGTAAGATCTGGAGGCGATACTGCATATGGAGCCAACTTTGAAGTGCATCTCAAGAGCAAGGATTTTCCTATAGAGCAGGATCAATCCACATTAGGTTTGTCCTTGATGAAGTGGAGGGGTGATTTGGGTCTGATGGCCAACTTGCAGTCTCAGTTTTCCATTGGTCGGAATTCCAAAATGGCCGTCCGGTTTGGAATGAACAATAAGCGAAGTGGGCAGGTCACCATCAAGACAAGCAGCTCAGAAATGCAAGTTGCCCTCATCGCTATTGTTCCAATTGCAGCATCCCTCTTGAGGAGTATCTGTCATGGTTTTGCTGCAAGCAACTCACAGACACTAGATTACTAGGTGTTTTTTCCTATCTACTGTTATTTGTTAAACTTCAATTTTTTGAGAAGGTAAACACCCAGCAAAATGATACTCACAGTCACACAATATGTCTGTATGGTTATAGCAGCTTTATTCAATCTCCAAGACATTCAATTTATTTCTGTACTATTTTTTTTTTGGCTTTTTGGCAGAGTTGTTGAATAATGAGTTGAATCCTACTCGTTTTGTTCTTTGAGCTGGTTTGTTGATTCTTTGGATTCTCGGAGTTAATGCTCTTGCTGCTGATCACATGTCCAGGTGAAATGAAGCACAGCAAGAAAAAAAGAAAGGGGGATTTTGGTTGGTATTGTGTAACTCATTCAAATTCAACAACGTCTGTTCAGGCTCTTATAGGTTAAATTTCCCGATACCAAATCTATAGTTTCAAGTAAGTTTGAGCATCGACTCCCAATAACTGAATAGCTCGTCAAATGCAATGTTGAATCTCATTTTTTTGAAAATTTTTAAAGAATTTCTATAGGATATTTTCACAAGTTTGAGAAGGTTTTGGGAGGGAAAGATGAGAGAAAATAAGAAATATTAAGATAAAAAATATTTAAAGATGAATTTCCATCAACTTTTGATCGTCATCTATTTACATAAGCACAAAACTTTGTTGAATTACAAGATTAACATTGAAATATGTAAACTAAGGACTGAAAGGCAATCCACAACTATACAACTATATATATATATAACTTTAAAAGAATTCAATTGATTATAATACTTTTAATACAATATTAAGATTACAATATATTCTAAAATCTAAAATTAGTATGTAAATTAAATCGGTCTTTAATTAGGAAAATGGTCATCAATTCTAAAATTTTTTAAAAGAAAACTATTAATTTCTATAACATAAGCTATGTTTTATAATTACTAAAAAAACAATAAAGTAAAACATAGTTTTACTATTCATTTTTATGATTTGAAATACTATTCACATACTCACAAATCACTATTCCTTTCGTTATTCATATCATTTTTTTAGCACTTTGGTCCTCAATTTTTCTATATATATATATTTTTTAATTTCAAACTTTAATTATATTATGATTTGGTCTTATTTTATTTTGATTATTTTTATTATTTAAAATTTACTACTTTAATTTGTCATTTTTTTTAATATAGTCATATGTTATTAATATTATGATCATATTATAATAATATTATTTTTCTACACTAAGCATTTACTATTTATTTATTTTTGAATTAAATAATTAAAATAATGTTTTGGCATAACCACTCAATGATTCAAATTAATATATTTTTTTATTTTAATATTATTCATTCTTTTATAAATAAATATATAAAAATTAAATTCACATTGTTTCAAAAACCAATGTTCTCATCAATATTAAATAAATAAAAAATTATTTGTTCAATTCTATGTAAGCTTTTAATAGTTGTTATTTATATTTTTTGACACAATCTTATGAAATGATAAAGCTTTTTTTAAAAAATTTATTTAATTTTTCTTGTAGTTAATAATCTATGGATTAACAAGGATAAATCCTTTTTCTAAAGGAAAAATTAAGAAAAACACAAATAAGAAATAGTTAAATACAAAATTTTGATTAAAAAATTATAAATATTTTTTTCTCCTTTGATTTCGTATATTTTTCTAAACGATTTTATATATTTTATCCAACCCGCGGCATAGCGTGGGCAAAAAAACTAGTGAATTCTAAAATATAGTTATCCCATTATTATTGTTTACACACCACATAAAACCCTTAATAATATAAAATAAGCTATTTAAATCACTCCTAAACTATATAATACTATATTGGTATTTTATTTTGATTATCAAAAGTTTATAAATACTTAAAACATAAAGTATATTACAATTCAAAAATAATTAAATTACATCAAAATTTATTAAGTTATTAAATTGAATCCGTGATTAATTTTTTATAGGTTAGTCTTGTTTTTTTCCTATGCTATTTTTTACTCCACTGGACAAACATTGATCGATAATAACAAAAAAAGGCAAGATTTATTAAAAATTGATTTATAAAATCTTTTATTATTATTTTTTTATACATCGGCTTTTGATCTACTTCCAACTCACCGCATTCAAGAAATACGACTCAAAGATCCAACTCACTTGATTAGGAAAACAAGAATTGACTCAAATTTCTAGCAGCAAGAACTTAAAATTATGCAGGAGCTTTCAAATCTTTAATATATGCAGGAGCTTTTAAAAAAAAAACTTAAAATAACTATTTAAAAAATCAGAAAAGATTCACAATAAATAATATAATGTCAGGTGAAGATTTTTTAGTAATTATTATTTATACTAACTACCAGTTATCAATTTTTTAGAAGATAAGTCAATTTATATCCCTGATCTTCATTTACGTACACTTAAAATTATTCTGTATGGTCAAAAATTAAATAATAATAATAATAATAATTTCATTATAACTATCAAAATCTATATTATATTATTTGAAAACGAAACATGATTACTATATAAAAATTCAAATTTATTCAGCTGTAAATAATTACAATTACATTATAATAAAACTAAACTAATTTATTAAACTAAAATCATTAGTTACTATTCATTATACTATTTAAAATATTATTCACTTAAATTCATTCGTACTATTCACCCGGACTAATTCACACTATTCCTTTCATTATGCGGTGATATTTTTTATAATTTTCAAACATTTTAAAGAGATTTATTATGAAAGTTTTCGTTATATTACATTTTGATTTCTCTTTTTCAAATATTATTTTTTTAGTCCATAAATATTTTTTATTTGATTTTAGTCTCATTTTTTTTTTTTTGATCACTTTGGTCCTTGTCTTTTTTTTTCCTCTAATTTTTTTTAATTAAACATGTTAAGGCAAAAAGATGTTTGAAAAAAACAATTTACAAAATAAGGTTTTAGCTAAAAATAAGGATAGAGATAAATAAATAATGTTTTAAATAAAAAATTTATGAAAATATAAAAAATAATTAGTCAAATATAAAATTTTAATTAAAAAATGATAAAGTTGAATGAATTTTTATTCAGTTTTGATTTAATATATTTTAATAGACGTATAATATAACACGGGATATCAAAATAAAATAATTTTTTAAAAATAATTTAATATATTTTGTTTGACTCGCATTGTATTGCGGATAAAAAAACTAGTTAGAAACTAAAAAAATAATAACATTATAAATTAATAAAATAATTAATATACATGTGAAGAAAGTGTTCATGAACTTTAGTTGATGATAAATAAAACAAAGGCGATCTATGTTAGGACAAACGAAATAAAAAAAGAAAAAAGGGGTAAGTTGCAGAGCTTGGCGCGTTTAAATTTGAACTGGAGAATTTGATTTATATCAACTAGCCTCCTTAATTTTCATCATAGTTTCAATTTCCCCATTTTGTTTATGATTTCTGTTCCAAACGAAAAGTTGGATAAAATTAATTATTATTTAATAACGTCATTTTCCTTTTTGAGAGGGTACATTTTAGCTGTTACAGCTAAATATTAATAGACATACCAATAAGAATATGAATAGTAAAAAAACACACGTTACGTAAATCAATAAAATAAACTCTGTAGTAAATAAATAAATAAGAGAGAGAGAGAGAGAGAGAGAGAGAAGGCGAAGCTTGTGGTTTTGATTCATTTATCCACAAACTCTCCAATTTTTCTCTCTTTATTAGTATTTCCACTCTAACCCACTCCTCCGCTCTCCTCTGTGTCTCTCCGCCTCTCTACAGAACCAAAAAAAAAAAAAAAAAAAAAGGGATGAACGTGAACAGAAAGTAGCTAACAAAATGTCCCTTCTTCGAAAATCTCTGGCTGCAAATTCTTCAATATTCACCCCTAGCGAAGCACCCACAATAGCCATGATCCACTCTTCTTCTCATAGAGTACGAAAAAATTCACGCACCTTCTCTCCATTACTTTTTCTCGTTTTCTTCTGTGGTTTTACTTTTACGGCACCATCCTGTGTTTGATAAAATGTCGCAATGAAACTTTGCCAGTAATTTTCACAATTAATTTGGAGTTTGCTAATTTAATTTAAACCAATCGTTTCTTCGTTTGTTGTGTTGTGTGTTTTCAGGTATTGTTGCAAAGAAGTAGTTGTTCTTTTTTGAGGACTGCTACTTCAGTTGGCTTATTTTATCAAAGAGGAACCTATTCGGTCAAAGTTCTCTCTCTTTTTAACACTGTTACACACTATTCTACTGGTTCCAGCGACGACTTTTTTCTTCTTCGAAGCGAAGATCTCGAGGACCAGTTATGGCTGCTAAAAAAGCATCTGGAGGTGTCTGTTTTACCCCTTTTTATTACTTAGATGATCACGTTGCATGTCTCCAGATGTCCATAATTGTTCATTAAGTGCGATAAGAAGAACTCCAACTAATTAGGTTGTTTGGCTTTAGGGGAAAAGCAAGAAGAAGGGAGGTACAAGCATACAGTTGATTTACCGAAGACAACGTTTGGGATGAGAGCGAATGCTCTGGTGAGGGAGCCTGAGATCCAGAAATTATGGGAGGATAATCAAGTGTTCAAGAGAGTTGTTGATAACAATAATGGGGTGGGTGATTTTGTTGCTGTCTTTGTCTGTATATTTTCATATATGGTATGAAAATATCAGCTAACTTTTTAGTTACTTTGTCAGGAAAATTTTGTTCTTCATGATGGCCCGCCATATGCCAATGGTGATTTACACATGGGTCATGCCCTGAATAAGATCTTGAAGGATGTAATTAATCGTTACAAGGTGTGTTCCCTTCCCCACCTTATAAATTTAGGTATTACCCCAAGTTTCTATATGCTTTAATTATTATTGTTATTATTATTATGAAGAAACGGAACCAACAGAAGTCGAATTATTAGATAAAATGATGAATTCAAATTTGAAAAAGTGTCAACATATAATTACTTTAATTTAAAGTAAGAAGAAAATTATAAGAATCCCTAGATATATTGATGTAGGAGAGCTTAGGGGCTGTTTTGGATTTGAGGAAGTATGTGGGTAGATTTTTCAGGAATCCCACCTAGGGTTCTTGAGAGTCACACAATCAAAGCAAATTGTTGGAAATTATTTGATATTATTGCATTCAAAATATTGAAAGACTACTTGCTGTTTATAGAGTTATAAAAGTCCAAATCGTACTAGGACAAGGATTCCTAAACCTCCACATAACTATTCCTATTTTAATATGGAAAACCTTTAACTATTCCTCTTTTAGAATAGGAAAACCTAATAACTTTAGGACTTAGAAAATAAAATAGTTAAACAGAAATATTGTAATTTCCAGATTTTCCCACAGATCTGAAATTACTAAAATACCCTTATCAATTACTCAAGTTCTCAAATAAGTTTTCCATCATTACCATGTGCCAAATCAGTGCTGGAGCATTGGAATTATTCTTAGAATGTCTTCTAAAGACCTTTGGAGGCTGCTGTCATGCCCCATCATATATGGGCTTTACTTTGCCATTGGTGAAATGGATCAAACACGAGAAAACAAGTGACAGAAAAAGGACTGCAAATATGATAAACTATCCTCCATTTCATGCTCAATGGCGTATTTTTGTCAGGATTCTGGTGATCATACATTGATTCCATTTTTGTATGTACACATATCTGCTATGTTATCCATCAATAACTCGGGAATGTTGACCATCAGCATCGAGATGTGTCATGGTGTATGCAAGAGTTTTCAGCTAGTGATTTAATCCGGAAATAATTTAACTTCCACTTCTGATTTGATACGGAATAAATCTAATTTTTTTTTTTTTTTAATTTTGTCAGATTCTTCAAAATCATAAAGTTCATTACGTGCCTGGTTGGGATTGTCATGGCTTGCCAATTGAGTTGAAAGGCAAGCATTGCTACTTTCTGTGATTTTACTTTTTTTTTTCCTTTCCTTTCTCACTCTTAGCAATTAATTTTTTCCTGCTGTAAACAATATCTTACCCATGATGTGTTGATTCCTATATTACAATTGCTAGAGCTTGGTTATAACAGTGAAATTTGGAAGTTGTATAAAAATTGAACTATGTCGTATCATACTAGACGCATTTTGTCGTTTAATGACACTAATCTTGACATCCTCTTTAGTTTGATTATTTTGTTTTCTTTAAAAATAGGGAATCTACATTTTTTGGAGTGTCCTTGTTGCCAAATCAGTTTGGATTAAAAAAAACAAAGGTTCATTACTGCTGTATTATGTAGAATTTTTTTTTAAAAAGTAGTTAACTGTCATTATGAATCACACAGTTCTGCAGTCAATGGATCAGGAAGCAAGAAAGGATCTGACAACATCAAAATTAAGAGCAAAGGCGGCCAAATTTGCTAAAGCAACTGTCAAAACTCAGATGACATCATTTAAGGTTGTAGCTAACTATCTGCTTTTTATTAAGTATTGGCATTTATTATCAAGTTAATGTTATCCAACAGGCATGGTTTTATTATCTTTCAAGAGTTGGCATAGTGACATTTTAAGCTGATTTACTTACTTGATAGCTTTTTTTGCCTTTGTTAAGATGATTTATTTATTTTAAGTTGATACTTGTAGCGCTATGGAGTATGGGCAGACTGGGATAACCCTTATCTAACTCTAGATCCAGAATATGAAGCTGCTCAGGTAGCTGGTACAACTTTTCTCCATTGCACTTGCATGCTTAAAAGTTAAATACTAATTCTGCAACCAATATTTTGTGTGCAAGTTGGAGCTTTTCAGGTGCCTAGACAACAACAATGTTATGAATTTCAATGACTATTAAATCAAGTGAAATATGATTGATCAAATTCTTATTGGCATATAAAGAATTATCATCTTTTTTCTTATTACCCATGCGTAATTTTCTATTAAGTTTTTGTTATGGTTAACTTTCTAAGAAATTGTTTCATCTCGTTTTTTTTGATAGATTGAAGTGTTTGGCCAGATGGTCTTTCAAGGATACGTTTATAGGGGCAGGAAACCAGTTCATTGGAGTCCTTCATCACGTACTGCTCTTGCAGAGGCTGAGTTGGAGGTATTTTAAGTCCTCTTACATTACATACTAGTGTGTTCTTTTTTTGTTTTTATGGCATACCTCACTGAAAGAAAATGTGTTTATGCATTCTTAATATATAGAACTGATAAAGCTTCAGATGTGTTCTACTGATGGTTTCCGAGTATATTGGTAATATAAACTGTATCCAAATATGTTTGCTAATTTGACTCCTTCTTATCTGTACATTCCTTCTTTTGGTTAGTGCTTAGAAAAAATGTCTTCATATTTAGATATGTTTGCTTAATTTTACTCTATGTACAATCCTTCTTCTGGTTAGGGCTTGGAAATAATGTCTTCAGACTTTTCTACTCAATGGTATATAAACCATCATTTAGCCTTTTTTTTTTTTTTTTTGCACAGCCTGGAATTTCTTTCCTATTTTTGAAGCCATTTTTTCATGGTTTAATGTTATAATGGGAGGCGTAAACCTATAGCATTTTTCTGATAAAGTCTGAAATCCATATTTCATGTAGTTGTACAATCTTTCAGAATTCACATTGTATCATTCTGTTGATTAACTATCTGGAAGTTGTTTTTTCTGCAGTATCCAGAGGGCCATGTTTCAAAAAGCATATATGCCATATTTAGTTTAGTAAGTGCACCTCCAGCTTCAGATGGGCTATTAGAGGAATTCTTTCCAGATTTGTGCCTGGCCATATGGACTACAACTCCCTGGACTGTTCCAGCCAATGCTGGTAAGTTTCTACTAGTTGGGCTTGCAATTTATTTATTAGATATGACGTTAGTGTTTGCATAGGTGTTTTATGCCTTTTGTTCTACTAATGTAAGGCAGTTATTTTTAATTTCAAATTTCATGCTTGAATTTGACGCTGGTGGTTAAGTTGTTTTCTGAACTATGTACTTCCATTTAATATTAATGATTTAATCAGTTTGATGCCTTGGTGTGCGTGCCTGTGTGTGTGGGATTAATTTAGATATCGTCATGTATTAATCATCAACAATGCCTGGCTGAAATTCCTGTTGCCTTACGAACTGCCAATATTTTTTCCCACCAACTTGAATTTGGCCATTGTTAAGTTAAGCACCAAGTATATCCTTAGTATTACATGTTTTTTTTCTGAATAATACTTTATCCCTTGGAGAAGGTAACAGCATTAACTTTTTGGAAGTCAAAGATTGAAACATTAAGTTTACTTGATGGGCCATGATTCTATTTTTAACTTGTGTTTTATTGCATGGAATTTTTATCTCTTTGGTTAAGATTTTTATTTATTTATTTATTTTTATTTTCGGGTTGAGCAGCTTAAAAATGCTTTTTGTGTGTCTAGTATTTTTTGGACTTGTCCATTTGAATAGTGACATTAATGCAGCTCGGTAAATTCCTACTTGCTGGTGAGATGCAGAGGCTGTTGAGCCTACAATCCTCCTTTGTTCTTGTAGTTTTTTCAAGAACTGATGAGAAAAGAATAGAGAAAATAATATTTTTTACTCTATCTTCCATTCTATGAATTACTAGCACATTTATACAGCATTCCTAAAATAGAAGATAGATATAATAAGGTTAAAAATTAGTAACTAAATATTCAGCCTATTTTAACATAATTACATCCTTCAAATTAGAAAATCACATAGTTGTTCAACACTCTTCCTCAAGGTGGTGCATAGATATCACACATGCCCATCTTGCAAACTAGAGAATGAAAAAATTTACTACTAAGCCCCCGATAGCGTGTCGTACTGACAACAAATTAGTAATTGTTGAAGAAAATCGAGAGGAAAAATTATATATTCACTCTTACGTAGGTTACAATGCATCAAAATAAATATACAATGAGTCCTTAAGTCAGAGTAGGAAACTACCTATTCTAGGGATAGAGATAAGCATAACTAGAGTCCCTCAAATTAAGGGATAATATTAACACTCCTAATATCTAGCAGATAATAATAATAATAATAATAATAATAATCATATTTACAGCTAATATACATCTTGACAGTAATTTATATTGTCCTTGGAGAACCTTAACCATAATAGTGTAATTAGGGCAAATAAGGGTCGAACCCACGGGGAAGGAGGCTTAATTGACTGTTTCTTTTAGTTGATTGTTCTTGTAGTGTAAAAGCAATAAAGAGGGGAGTTTTGTGTTTGGAGTGCTTAGAGGCAATTAAAGTAAATTGAAATAACGATGATAAAGAAACCTTTGTTGAACTTCAATACCACTTCTAGTTTGGTCGCTGATTATCGATTTAAGCATTAACTTATTTTAAACATGAATATTCATCGTAAGACAACAACATGCATGTTGTCCCCAATCTTTTATTACTTAGTCGTTAATTGGATATACGATACTCGATTAATTCCCTAGCTATCGAATAACCTACTAAGCGCTAGATAGATTTAATCCAATAACAACATTAATTAGAGAAAGACAGGTGAAGCTAAGCCATCTTCCTAAGCACTAGAGAAGATGTAATCTAGTTCTATGTTTTCTAAGAGATTGAATGAAAACATGAAAAATAATTATCAACTCCTAGTTACTACCACATGCAAGTTTAGACAAGTAATTATATGGACTTGAATACTTAGCTAACAATAAGTTAATATGATCAAACAATCAGCATGCATTCTAATCAATCTAATCACATAACCATGAATCAATCATAGAGAAAAACATAAAATACTCAAATAAGATAAATTTAGAAATAAAACTCGTAATCCGACGGTGATTTAATCAAAAGCTTCAACTTGACTTAATCAAGAATAGTACTTATTTGTTCATAATAGATTACAAAGAGAGAGTTTTCTATCTATGGTGGCTGCTGGGAGTTTAAATCCCTCAATAATATCCTAGAATCACTATTTATACCTAAAACTGGGGTTGCATCACTTAGTTGTCAGTCCCATATGGCCACACGGGTTACTGAACAACATTAAATTGTTTGAAGCCTTGAAGAATTAGTATTACACAGTTTGAAGCCTTAAAGAATTGGTATTACAGGGTTTGCTAAAAAGAGGCACATGGCCGTGTGCCTTTACTCTTCATTCTATGTTACTTCCTTACTGCTCTTCATTCAACTTTCATATACACTTCTTCTTCCAAATCTCCATGCAAGAAAGCATTCTTGATATCCAATTGTTGTAGATCCAATCAAGGTTAGCTGCAGATGACAAAAGAATTGTAATAGTATTCATTTTTGTAACTGGAGAAAAAGTTTCTTGATAGTCTATTCCATAGGTTTGTGTGAATCCCTTCGCCTCCTATCCGGCTTTGTACCGTTCAATTAACCCATCTGCCTTATGTTTGACACCCATTTGCATCCACCTGGTTTCTTTTCCTTTGGAAGAGTAACAAGTTTAAATGTTTCATGTTTTACCAAGGCCTTCATCTCATCAACCATGGCTTCTTTCCATTTGGGATCTTTATATGCTTCTTGCCAACATTGTGGAATAGAGACATAAGACCAACAAAGCAAAGGCTCTATAGAAAGGAGACAATGAATCATAGAAAATAAAATTAGAAATAGGATGTTTAGTACAAGTTTTGACACTTTTCTAACAGCAATAGGTATATCAAGATCATTAACAATGAAATTAGAATTAAAAGCATCAAGATGTAGGAGACTTACAACATGAATCCTCAGCAACTGAATCCAAAGGTGGTTCTTGGCTAGGTAGAATATGTTCAATAGCTTTATCTGCCTTATCTCTGCGTGTGTAGGTTCTCAAATCAGCCCTCTCTAATCTTTCATTATTAGGTTGTTTGCCATTACCATCACCACTACTAAACTGCATGGGTGTAAAATTTATCATCTCTTCTTCCCTATTCTCCACCTGAAGAGGCGAGTAGGGTAAAGAAAAGTAGGGCTCAAACTCTTGAAAGGTGACATCCATACTCACAAAGTATTTCCTAGTAGGTGGATGATAACACTTGTAACCTTTTTGAGTTGCCAAATACCCAACACACACATTTTTAAGGGCCCTAGGATCTAATTTTCCTACATTCCTCTTGTGGACAAAGCACACACATCCAAAGACTTTAGGAGGAACAATATAAGAATTAGTACCTTGCAAAATTTCTGAAGGACTTTGAAAAGTCAATGTTCTTAACGACATTCTATTAGTAACATATGCAGCTGAAAGTACTGCATCCGCCAATAGACTTTGGAACATTCATAGTAAACATGAGATCTGGCCACTTCTAATAAATGCCCCTTTTTCCTTTCAGAGACTCCATTTGGTACACTAGTGTTTACACAACTTGTTTGATGCAATATCCCATATGAATTGAGATAGGCCCGAAAGACACCATCCATGTATTCAGTATCATTCTTAGTTCTCAAAATCTTAACCTTGGCATTAAATTGTGTGAAAATAATCTTGTGAAATAATTGAAAATAAGAAAAAACCTCATTCTTTGCTTTCATCAAATAAACTCATGTTATTCTAGTACAAAAATCAATGAAAGTAGCAAATCATTTATAACTTAGCACTGACACAGTTTGTGTAGGACCCTGTACATCAGAACGAATAGTCATGAAAGAAACATAACTTTTTTTTATTACGAGAAGTATAAGAGTTTCTTGTGTGTTTAGCATACTCACAAGCATCACAAACTAATAAATCAGAATTGCATTGTTTAAACAAGCTAGGATATAACTTCTCTAAAACATGAAAGGATGGATTTCTTAATCTTCCATGCACCATGGGATTATATTGAATCTCCCAACAAGGCTTGGGTTTCAAAAGGAATCAAAGGGTTACTACTTTCCTCTAGCAAATATAAGCCATCTTGCGTTCTACCATAGCCAATCGTTTTTCCTGTTTCAGTTCCTGAAAGACGCAATAATAAGGATAAAATTCAGCTTTACAATTAAGTTCCTTTGTGAGTGTACTAACAGATAAGGGATTATTTGGAAAACTAGGGATATGAAGAACTGAAGGCAGATTTCTAGAGGATGTGCAATCAATACAACATGCCTCAGATATAGGATATAAAAATTCATCTGCAATATAGACTTTATCTTTTCCTGAACTCAGGGAGTAAGTCAGAAAATTATTGGAAGAGCATGTCATATGATTTGAGGCTTTGGAATCTATGACCCTAGGATTATTTTTCATAGGGAAATTGGCATTAAAAGAGATACCTGAGTTGGCAAAGTTGGAGGAAGCAACTGTGGTTGAGTGAGAATCAAGCCGAGAAAAAAGATGCCTTAAGGTTTTCTTCTCTTCATTGGAAAAACCTCCAGTAGTAGTTTCTCTAGGAACTGGTGCTTCAACAGTCCCAAATAGATTTGCATGTGATCTTGAGGATCTTATTTGCTTGCCTCCATGACCCCTAGTCAGTCCCATGAAGGTTCCAACAACTTTCTTTAGTGTGCCTGGGTTTTCCACAATAATCTCATTTTTGTTGATCCTTTTTTGATGTCTCCAAATCATTGACTTGCGTATGTTCACTAATGGTGTTGGGCACAAGGTATGCTTTGTCTACAGAAATTGTGTGTATCATGATACTTCTTTGGCTTTCCTCCTGTTGTACATAGAAATACGTTTGTCTTAAAGAAGGTAAAGGATCCTTACCTAGTACTTAAACCCATATTTGATCATATTCCAAATTCAAACCAGCAAGAAAATCATATATGCGCTCCTTCTCTATCAATTTCTGAAATCTAGTCACGTCTTCAAGACATACAGCCTAGAAGTCTTGATAATAATCAAGTTCTTGCCATAATCCACTCAATTCAGAAAAATATTGAGCAATAGTCATCTCACCTTGTCTTGTTCTATGTATCTTATTTTGCAATTCATAGATCTGCGTATCATTGCCCAGTTGAGAATAGGTTAGTGATGCTGCATTCTAGATTTTATGACCAGTATTAAATAATAAATAACCTTTAGAAATATGGGGCTGTCTGGAATTTATGAGCCATGACATGACAAGAGAATTTTCGGATTCCCATTGATTGTAGGTTGAGTCTGTAATTGCTGGCTTTGGCTTATCCTTGCAATATAGCCCTTCAAATCTCAAGCTTGGATGAACAATAAACACGACATTGACCAGAGAAGGTAACTTGTACCATCTAGCTGAACAGGACTGATTTGCAAATATGGATTTTCACCTAAAAACCAGTCTTGTTCTCAGTAACAGTTTTTTTTTTTGCCCCCATCTGTCATGCTTGAGAAAAAGCAGGAAAAAGGCGTCTGTTTAAGTTAAGAGATGCTTCTGCTAGTTACAGATGGCAGTGGCTTAAAACCCTAGAAAAGAATCAGGCTTTGATACTATGTCAAAGGACAATCTTAATCAAAAGTTTAAGCTGTTAGCTGAGACTTCAGAAATGGTTTTATATTACTCTCTAACACACCTTCTCAAGTGAAGACCATTTGGGCTTGAAACTTGCACAAGCCTACCACTATCTTCTGCTTAATTATTTAATTAGAGGAGAAAGTAAGGTGGTGAGATTCGAACTTGTGACCATTTGGTCATCAAGGCTTTGATACTATGATGATAAAAGAATAGAGAAAATAATATTTTTACGCATCTTTCATTCTAAGTACTAGCACATTCATACAACATTCCTAAAATAGGAAATTAGAAATAATAAAAGCTAAAAATTAGGAACTAAATATTCAGCCTATTTTAACGTAATTACATCCTACAAATTAGGAAATCACATAGCTGTCAACAGGAATTGATGTGCTCATTGTTCTCAGGAGAGAGAGAGAGAGAGAGAGGGAGGGAGAGAGAGAATTGTTCAACTTTTTATGAGTTTTTGGACCTTGTTAGACAAAATGATTAGTTCATTTGCACATAATTCGATCACTTAATTCTCTCTCTCCCCATCTCTCCCTCCTAATCTTTTTGGGGTATGTTCTTTCAGCTGTTGCTGTCAATGCCAAGCTTCAGTATGCTGTAATTGAAGTGCAGTCATTTTCAGGAGATGTTTCTACATCCTCTGGAAATAAAAAACAAAGGCTTGGACATGTTTTGAAGGAAGAGAAGAAGCCTTTTCTTATAGTAGCATCTGATCTTGTGTCAACACTAGAAGCAAAATGGGGTACGAAGCTTGTTGTCAAGAAAACACTGTTAGGATCAGATCTAGAAAACTGCCGGTACGATATGAAAAATAATTTGTATTTATGTGAGAAAATGCTAATGGAATATAATTGATTTAGCATATAATTTGTATTTATGTGACATAATGCCCTTTTTATACGAGTAAAAAAAATTGCATTCACACTCCACACTGTCTGGATGATCATTTAGTCGGATTATTTAGTGACTAATATCTGCTTCTGAATTTTGGTTTCAGGTATATTCATCCAATAGATAAGAGGGAATGCCCGGTTGTCATTGGTGGAGATTATATTACAACAGAATCAGGAACTGGACTGGTACATACAGCTCCTGGTCATGGTCGGGAGGACTATATAACTGGCCTGAAATATGGATTGCCTATCATATCCCCTGTAGATGATGATGGGAAGTTTACTGAAGAAGCTGTGCAGTTTAGTGGACTTGATGTACTTGGGGATGGTAATATTGCTGTGGTGAAATACCTGGACGAACAAATGTCTATTATCATGGAGGAATCATATCGTAAGTTAGACTCTTTTCCATTTAAGTGACGGTGAAGTTAATATTTTGCCTTCTGGCAACATCTTTTCTACTCTTGAGTATAACCAGCCACACCAGTGTAAAAGAATCCATCCTTTTGCGTATGCAGAGCACAACTATCCATATGATTGGCGAACTAAAAAGCCCACAATATTCAGAGCTACTGAGCAATGGTTTGCCTCAGTAGAAGGGTTTCGCCAGACGGTTATGGAGGCAATTAGCCAAGTGAAATGGATTCCACCTCAGGTACTGAGGCATTGTTGCATTGGTTTTATTTTCATTCAGTGTGCTTGGCTCTTTCTATGCTTTCATTCTGCAAAGATACTACTGTTGATAACTCACTATGTTAAATTATGCCCTCTGCACAAAGTGATTACTTTATGGAAGTTAATTGATTTCTGTTATCATCATTATTCATTAGCAACTAGGCATATTTGCTTATTTGGTAATATTCCATATTTTCTGCATTTTCAATGTTTTATGTAATGGGAATCGTAAAGGCAGTGCAAATCCTCTTTGCTAGGTTTTTTATAAGGTTTATTCATTAGGACAATGGGACAGTACAACTTATTTGTATAGTATGTAGTATTATAATGTCACTTTTGGGTGTTCTAATACCTCAATACCTCATCTCCTTTTGAAAGGATGCCAGCAAGTAGTGATGTTGAAGCTTGGAAACTTAGTTCTTGAAGCAAATACTGTCATCCTTGGGGATTTCATTTTTCAGTGTAGTAACTCTACACCTTGATTGTGGTGAAAAGATAAATTTAACTGTAGAAGTGAATAGATACCTGGATGTATTGCATGGCTTATTGGTTTCTGAAATGGATTCAGACTGTCAAATGAAAGGTCTATAAAAGTTTGGTTGGTGTCTATAGTTTTAGCAACTTCGTCTATGTCCTGTTGATATAGATTGAGAAGAAACGACGCTGTGGTAGCCAGGTGCAACAGCCCATCTTTCCAGAGTGACATAACTTCTATTACCAAATCTTGATATCAAATCCTACTATCAGCATTGAAATATTGATATGTCAGTGGAGAAGGTCAGTTTGCTTTTAGGTTTAGCATACCAGAAGTCTTGTGGCACCTTATAAGTTCTAATGCCCCCTCAAGGAAGCCACAGAACTAACTTATGAAATCCAAGTGATCACCTCTGTTGCAGACTGTAATCGAGTTTTCCTGTTTAACCATGCAAATCCCGTTCGCGACTATACCAAGTCCATCATATTTGGCACGTGCTTAAATGGCAGTGTTTTTTCCAACATACAGTTTGTTAGCATAACCATGAAAATGGCATGAAGGTGGTTCTTCCGTCAAGGTCTGGTTATAGTTTTTATGAAGTTTCCTTGTCTAATGCTAGGTGCTGCTATTTCCCAATGTTTTTAGTCAGAGGAGCGTCACTTCTGTTAAAGCCTTGAGCTTGACCTCTTTTGGGAAGTCATTTTTTTTTCGATGTATTTATAAAGTTTAATTCACTGCATTGCAATTATTAAAGTGTGTTTTTCATGAATGTCGAGGCTGATGCAAGGGTAATAAATTAGAGCTTGTGAATTTCACTTATGTGGTTTTTTATATTTGGATTCACTTGCAGCTTTTTTCATTATTTTACCAATGGTGCTGTATCTTATTGATGATCTCTTGTATAAATGTTTTAATAAATGACCATTCTTCAGGGAGAAAACAGAATAACTGCAATGACTTCAAGTCGCTCTGACTGGTGCATATCAAGACAAAGGACATGGGGTGTCCCCATTCCAGTCTTTTACCATTTGGAGACAAAGGAACCACTTATGAATGAAGAGACTGTTGACCATATCAAATGTAAGACTCTTCTGAAAACAGAGAAACTTTCTGCCTTCTTTTTTCATTAAATCAATAGTTTGAAGTAGACAATGTAAATGATCATTTTATTGCAGTGATATTTCTACTGCATTCATAATCGCCCTCCTCCCCCCAAAGCAGTTCACACTTCTTCTTTCTATTTCTTTCTTTTGTAGTTTTTTAGCATGCACAGACTTAGCCTACTTTTGGACTTGTGATAGATTCCTTACAGCCCAGTTCCTGATATTGGCTTTATTTTTCTGATCACCATTTGCAGCTATAATAGCCCAAAAGGGTAGTGACGCTTGGTGGTATATGAAAGTGGAGGATTTGCTCCCAGAAAAATATCGTGATCAAGCTTCAGGGTATGAAAAGGGGACAGACACAATGGATGTCTGGTTTGATTCAGGTATTGATTAAATTTGAGTCTATGTAGAGTACAGACCTTGTTTTTCTTCTCTATCGGTATGAATCGATATTACTACATTCCAGTTTCTTCCCGACGCCTCCAAACGAAAATCCTGAATTGGATCCCAAATTGACGGGTTAGTGTGAGCTTATCCATGCGGTTATGCACTCTTCAAATATGAATCCATTTTCTGAAAGATCCAGGCTTTTGTGCTTTGTTGGGTCTCCGAGATCCTTTCAATGACTTGTGTTGTGTTGAAAGGATATCTATATGATCCGTGCGATTGCATAAGGCACGTGGTAGCAACAGAACCAGGGAAAGTATACAGAAAAGAGAGTTCTTTTCTATTCTATTAGTATTATATTATAGTATTAGATTAGTATTAGTTAGTGATCCTGGCGCTCACAGAATACTGTGTTGTTATATCCTGAACTTCCCCATTGGACAATGTTGAGATTATTTTTTGTTGTTTGTGTGAAATATAGCGGTTTCATGTATGAATATTTTAATGGCTTCTTTTCCACATGCTATATTATATGCATTACAATGGCAAGGGTGGAACTAGGTCACTCACTTTGTGCTAAGGGGGGAACAAGACTCGAAATGAGCATGAGTGAAAGATAGTCAGAATAAAATGAGGGTTGTTGTTATTATTATCATTAATTCTTTCTCTTTTTTTGGGGTGTGTGTGGGGGTTTACCAGTGCTCTCAACAAATCCCATCTCCATGGTTCTTTCTAGGCATAATGGGGGACTGCCCCCATTCAATGGTCAATTCTTGGCAAGCACTTAAGTTGTACCTGATAGAAAAAAGTATCTTGTCTATGATTGAGCTGATTTGGAAATATTTCTGTAAAGCATGTAACAAAATACTTAATAAATCAGGCATAAGGGTTACCAATGCTCTCAACAAATCCCTTCTCCATGGTTCTTTCCAGGCATAATGGGGCACTGCCCCCATTCGATGGTCAATTCTTGGCAAGCACTTAAGTTGTACCTGATAGAAAAAAGTGTCTTTTCTATGATTGAGCTGGTTTTGAAATATTTCTGTAAAGCGTGTAACAAAATACTTCATGAATCAGAAGTTGTTCTTTCTTAAATGATCGGTGTTAAGCTGAGAACATTTCACCATTAACTTCCATTGAAAGGGATATGAAGGTGGGTAAATGTTGAACTTTCAACAAATTCTGACCAAAGTGAAATCTTCAAGATTGTAAATGAAGCCCACTTGGGTTCCGTTGTGTAATTTTTGCACACTTGTGCTTTCTCTGCTGCACTCTAGTTGTGTTGCATTGCCTTTCTTAACAAGTTTTGCTTCTCTGTTGCTCTAGTCCATAGCTGCATCAGTTATCACACTTGTGCTTTCTCTGCTGCACGCTAGTTGTGTTGCATTGCTTTTCTCAACAAGTTTGCTTCTCTGTTGCTCTAGTCCATAGCTGCATCAGTTATCAACCCTTATGCAGTATCCTGCTTAAAGTTTATAAATCTTTCTATTGTGGTTTGAAAGTGTCCGTACTTTCCTTGCCCCACCTGTTTTCTATGGTAGGGTTCTTAAATGTTTTTGTTGCTTACTGCTATTTCAGGTTCTTCATGGGCTGCCGTGCTGGGAAAAAGAAATGGCGCTAGATTTCCTGCAGACTTGTATCTTGAAGGAACAGATCAACATCGTGGGTGGTTCCAGAGCTCCTTGTTAACTAGTATTGCTACAAAAGGTAACGGGCATCTGATCTAATTGGAATTGCAAAATGCAATGATGGTGCCTTTTTTTCCCTGAAGAAATTGATTTTGTCTTGAAAATGAATCACTGTAACTTTTAGTTTGGTTTCTGCAATGTCAGTACCTGTTTGTTATCAGGTGCATTTCATTCTATATCATATACCCCTAAGACTTACCTCCATCCAAAATCTTATGTCACTAAATCAGTGAAATGCCACTGAGACATATATTTCTGTCTTGAAAATGAATTCATTTTGTTGCTTCTCTTTCTACAGGAAAGGCTCCTTATTCCAGTGTTATTACTCATGGATTTGTATTGGATGAGAAAGGTTGTAAGATGAGCAAATCATTGGGTAATGTTGTAGATCCACATACTATAATCGAAGGGGGAAAAACTCAAAGGTTGGTAATAATGCATAATGATTCAAGACATCTTTTCTGTGAGTTTTTTCTCATGTAAATAAATTATTACTAATGTTCCTGTCTGCTCTTGGCAGGAAGCACCTGGCTATGGAGCTGATGTCTTGCGACTCTGGGTTTCTAGTGTAGATTATACAGGTGATGTCATGATTGGTCCTCAAGTCCTTAGGCAAATGTCTGACATATATAGGAAGTTGCGAGGAACTTTGAGATACCTTTTGGGAAATCTGCATGACTGGGAGGTAAATTGAGCTTTCCTCATATAATTAGAACTCTTGAGTTTGAAGGCAGTTTTAGTATGGAAAAGAAAGTTATGCAGTTTTAATCTGACATGGCTAAAGCCATTATTATTTACTTCCCCTCCTCCTTCTGCCATTACATTGATGACTATGCTATTAGCAGGCTGACAATGCTATTTCGTACAATGATCTTCCCATGATTGATAAGCACGCGCTATTTCAGCTGGAAAATGTTGTAAACACCATTAAAGAGAGTTATGACAACTATCACTTTTTCAAGATATTTCAGGTAAAATTGGTCTTTTGTTGCATTGTTGCATGCTATAAACATGGTCCTTTGCATTAATGCTCAACAAGGTGGTGGAAGCAGGTTTTGCACTGTAGCTGACAAGGTAACTAGTACACAGTAACATAGAACCCAAAAAAAAAAAAAAAAAGGGCATAGTAACTCGCATGCATGCACAACAACATTCTCAAAAATGATTTATTGCTGGAAGCCTTGAACATTCAACATTTTTGTGTTATTGCTATGAATTAAGTTGAAAATTTAACCAAGGGGGAGATGAGAGCAGCCAATCTTCAAAATCCTTGTAGATTTCAAAGGGAAAAATACAGTAGGTATTTGTGCTCTGTGCTTCGGATGAAATTTGACCAAACCCAACTTCTAGGGCACAGTATGTTGCTGATGAGCTTCTCCACGAAGAAATGAAACAAATAAAAGGAGTTCAGGAATGGAAGTACAAATAATTTAGCTAGCTTCAAGCCATGAGATTAGGAAGTAGGCCTGCAGAAATGCATGGAATTGTATATTTGTCTGTTTATTGCTATTCATTTTAAGTTGTCCTTTGTTTATTTGATGCACAAATTTGTTTTGCTTGATTTGTGGGATCTTATATGGCTAATTATGTTGCAGATCATTCAGCGGTTTGTTATTGTCGACTTATCAAATTTCTATTTTGATGTTGCCAAAGATCGACTTTATGTTGGGTAATTCTTCAGTGTTTTACAAATGGGAATTTCATTTTTTCTTTTATCATCTTGTTTTATGCATTTTTCTATTATAACCGATGTTGGATAAGGAAATAAGAATTCTTAGATCAATATTTGATTGTTTGATTTGGATTTATTACTTGAGACTTTTAGTAATTAGTAGAAATTTTAATATTGAGGGTTTTAATAACTCTAAAATTTCACCCAAAAAGAATTACACCAAATGTTCAAAGAAGTCTTGCCCCTCTCCCTTTAACCACAATTTTTTTTTTTTAAAGTACTTCAAGTCATGCATGTATAAGCTGCAAATCTAGGTTATTGTGAAATCTCTCTATATGTATAGCTAAGTAAATGATTTTCAGGGGCACAACAAGTTTTACAAGGAGAAGTTGTCAAACAGTTCTTGCTGCACATCTCCTTTCCATTGTGAGGGTAATTGCACCAATATTACCTCATTTGGCTGAAGATGTGTGGCAGAATCTTCCCTTTCAGTTTACTGTCCAAGATGGTTCTGCTGCCAAGTTTGTTTTCGAATCGAAGTGGCCTGCTCCCAATGGAAAGTGGCTTGCTTTTCCTATTGAAGAAATTGACTTTTGGAGGAAAATTCTTGAGGTAATCATTCATTTCACGTAATGTTGACATACTAACTGTGCGTGGAAAGTTGAGTCCAAATGCATGTTTTTGTATTGATCTTCAACTTTTAGTTACCTCTGTTTGCTGTATAATACATCGATAATATGACTTTATTTCATTTGCATTGGATTGTCTGGGAGGTTGAAACTGTAAAAAGCTGCACGTGATAATATGTTTTTTCAAAGCATTATGTAACTTCAATCTCTCATCGTTCTATTTAATCATCTCAAATGAAAATAAAAAAATATCCTCAAGATGTTTCTCTGAATATAATATTCCTTCTAAATTTGCTTCCTTTTGTAGTTATGTGCAATAACTTGATCATTTTGCTTGTCCTTTGTGATTTTAGGAATCAGATACTTGGGAAACCTGCCCACCTACTACTAGTTGCTCCATGGCAACTATCACTAGGATCAGTTCCATTGTCACCATTATCACCAACAACCAGTGTAGAGCCAGACCAGAAGAAATTTGTTTGGGGGCAGTGCCCCTCTCAGATAGCCACCCACTATTGTAACCACATTAATATCATCACCCTGACCATATCATTGCAAAAATTGCTGCTAATGTCCACCATCATTACCATTGTGACCAATCACTCACTATCACTTCCGCTGTCCCCACAGCCACCCATCAACACCAATGCTACCTACCACCAGGACAACATAATGCTCCATTCCCCTTCCTGATTCATGTGTAGCAAACAAGCTATTATCATTCAAAGGTTCATTATGGTTCTGAGTTATCTGATGAATATTGGATATAGTTGTTATGATGTTTTGATACTTGGATACACAACTAATGAATTGAATTGGCTGCACATTTGATGCTAACATGCTCGTAATATGAGACCAGTGCTAATAGTCAATTTGTTGGTTATTTTGCATTATTTTTAAAAGGAAATAGTGCACAGTTGTTTCATTCAACAGTTTACAGGTGCTAGGTATTGTCGATCACATTTTACTTGCTTCTGACTTGAAATGATTTGACCAGCTGAGGACTGAGGTGAACAAAGTTCTAGAGGTTGCTCGTGCAGGCAAGTTGATTGGGTCCAGTTTGGAAGCAAAGGTTTATCTACATACTTCTGATGCCTGCCTTGCTTCTAGATTACATGAAAGGTGCGCAGCCAGCAATGACGCTGATGCATTGAATCGCATATTCATAACATCTCAGGTATGCTCATGGGCCTTTTTTTTTTTTTTTTTTTCAAGTTACTGTGTTACCTGAGTAGTTCAATTCGTCAATCCAGAAATATGGCTACTTTTAAATTGTTTTCTTGTAGTCAGGGAAGAATAATATCCAATTACATGTAGAGACGACCAAACCCAAAGTTCTAGTTCACTTTCTGACAGAACCCTAGCTCAACATTTCTCGCTGGAACAGACACAAGGACAAATCAATTTCAAAACCTTTGGGATTTGACTCAGGTGGTAGAAGTGAGTCAGGGTTCTGTTAGAAGGTGAAGTTTGGGTTTGGTGGTCACTGCATCTAATTGGTATTCTTCCTTACTGCCTGATAAAGGAACTTGAGTTGTCAGACTATTATCTACATTGATTATTTGGTTTCTTATTCTTTTAATCAAAGTCGATCAGTTCCTGCAAGTTCAGAATTTAATTACTATTTTCTATTTTCCTTTTGTCAATATCTTATTGCTTGAACTTGTAGAAGGTTAAAACTATTCTTCCCTTCGGTCATTTGTATGGAAATGTGCAGGTGGAGATGATTCAGCATTTGAAGCATGATGTTATTGAAACTATTCCATGCACTGGTGAGTATCTCGTTGAAGGAAACGACAGAGTGTGGATTGGTGTTGCACCTGCTGAAGGCTTGAAATGTGAAAGATGTTGGAATTACACACCTCAAGTTGGTTCTTTTGTGGAGCATCCGACACTTTGTGGTCGCTGCTATAAAGTAGTAGCTGTTCAACCAGAACCTGCTGTAGCAGCAGTCAGCTGAGACGAAAAATTAAGACAAGCTTGACCGTAAACATCCAGTTGCCAGTTAATCTAGAACGTCTGACCAGTATGATCTTTCTTTTCAATTGAATTGGCTATAATGCTTTTCACAATTTTGACAAATCAAGTTCGAAAGTCAATTGTAGATTTCATTTGACGCCACAATCAACCAATATGGTGTGTACTGGAGGATCATACTGGACAGAGAAGAATGAAAGCCTATTAGAGTTTTTTTTTTTTTTTTTTTTGGGGGCCCCAGGGAATGAATGGGGATGGGAGTCTTGAAAAGTAGTTGCAGATGTGGGGGTGGGGGGTGGGAGGAACCTGGGGCAGGACTTGAGAGGACAAAATAGTGTTTCTGTGGTTGTAATTAATAATTGTTAACGCAGTATTTGCCATCTGCATATAATGGATAGGCTTCTCCAATTCTTTTGCCATGGTCATGCTCCAAACGCAAAATACTTCTGCTGTCTACTTTGACTCCTTTTTTTTTTTTTATCTCCGGTTAATTAGTCAAATATTTGAGGCTTCACCTATTAGCAGCATTGAAAGGTCGTAGACATGCTTTCCATAAGGCTCCCTATCCTCACATCCAAGCCTGAAGAACTAGCGACCGGAGATCGCAGTTATTTTCTGTAACTTTTTCATTTCTGTCAAAGGGTCACTTAATATACTAAGGATGTACGATGATTTTTTTTTACAATAACTGGGTTTGATTTGTCATGGCTGCCTCCTGTATAGCATATATATATATACTCCCAGAATGGATTGTTGATTAATGATTACAGCTAATCAATCCAAGAAGATTATCTTACATTTTGTGGGCCAAAATGGGGATTTTGATTATTTAATTTGAACCCACTATATCAAATTATGAAATGGTACACACAGGATCCACAATACAGCCACTGAGAACGATAAATAGCGAGCTCAAGTTTTATCTAATTAAAAAGGGAACAGAAAACAGGGCAGGAGAAGGGGAGGGAGTTTAACTAACAAATGCAGAACCCTTGCATAGGAGAAGCAATTGTATGTTACAAACACATGCCATGTTAAAAACTGTCACACGCCTGTAAGACCTCCATCATTAACTTATTGGAGCTGCCCTTCCAAATTCTGAGGTGGTGGTTGTATCAACTCAGGCTCCTCTAAATCATCTGTTGCTTGAATTTGTATATCCTGTAAAAACAAAACAAAAAAACTCATGACAGGTAAAAACATTAAAAAAGCAAGCCAGAATTTTATCAATATCTCCTCTAATTCTATATCCTCCTATTTATTGGCTCAAACCATCACACAATGCCAACAATGTTGCATACGACCTAGTTTCTAAATGAAAATTTCACCCCAGGGTGGTCAATTTATTTAAGTATTACATATGAACACATCTTACGTTCCGAGCCATATGCCATCCAAGGAAACAACACAATAGCAGGCCAAAATAAAGTACCCTTAGTGGGCTACGAGCCTAAACCCTAAACTTCTCCAAAGGGTGGCTAAAAGCCTATACACTTCACACAGCAATGAAACGTCTTATGGTATTCTCCTTTTAATACCATTATTTGTTCACAAAGGAATATTTGAAACTATTTTCATGTAAAGATGGTAACCTAAGGTGCATAAATTGATATATTTGGAGCATCAAATTGTTATTGTTTGATAATTCAATGTGCAGATTTTTTTCTCCTAAACGATTGGTCATAAAGATATAATTAGTCGTAACCTGTGAGTGTATTAGCTGGTGTGGTTGCTGATCTTGTGCCATTGCATAAGCTTGTGGTTGGGACATTCGGTAATATGGTTCTTTTAGGTCGAGTTTGCATGATGATGTCTGAAGTATTCCGCCTTGTTCAGCACCAGGGCCCCACATTTTAGCTACAAGAGTTGATCAAGACTTATTAGAAAATGAATAAAACATATCAGAAAGACAAACATTAGAAGACAAAAACCAACCTGACAAAGTTAAATATATAGTGTAACTCTGAGCATTGTGGGCAACCATCCGGAGCTGGCCAGTAATTTCTTGTCCTGCCATCACATAGAGTGGCTGAGACAGAACACAACGTAATTGGTACCAGTGGGTGGTAGGCGCACCAGGGGCAGTTGTAAGCCATCTTTGTACAGTACTGCAGGTCAGAGCAGTTCCCATATGAATCCAATAAATTATGAGATGAAAAACATATAAAAAGCAGGCCTACTGCAGATGCAAAATGCAAACTAAAATAAGGGTATAAAGATCAGGACAAAAACTTGCCTCCCATTAAATAAAACATCGAACCAGCAAGCCAGCCCATGAATTCTGGTTCCTACAGAGGCTATGAATTTCAAAGGTATATCAATTTCATATAAATCCTCTTCCTGCAGAAAGAAAAGAGAGAAGTTTTGATGAGTTGAACCAAGAAACGTCAAGGCAGTAACTTCATCAGGGAGAAAGGGGCAAGAGTCACTCATAAGGAAAAATCTAAAAGCTTTGGAAGCAAAACTTCTTTCCGGAGTACAGTACCCAACAATGCACCCTAAGTTGGAATACAAAGCCTACAGTTATAACCGTATAGAATCCATTGAGAGGAGGTTGTGTGCAGCAGAAACTTTTCAAACAAAATGTAAACTAAGCCTGAAGAATTGTTTCAAGAAGGAAAAAAGAAGGGTAGGATAAAAACATAATCATTTTCCTTCACGATGAGGCATTACATAAAACAGCTAACAAGCAGTGCAACTGCACAAGAATAAAGGGTAAGGCTATACCTTTATTTCAGTAAAGTCTAAAACATGACAAATTGTAGGAGCCACCAATAATCTTGGATCAAAAGCATCTACAACAGGCTGCATGCAAGTAGAACAGGTCCATCAAATGATCAGGGAAAAAAAAATTCACAAGAGATTGTCATGATATAGCAGAATAAGAAGAAATCACTTAAGAAGGTATTTTCTCCAGATAAAACATAAATATGTTGGTTTATAAAACAGGATGAGAGCATGTCTAAGCAAGTCAACCAAATGTAATTTAAAGATTCAATCTACACCAGAAACATGAAAGCAAAAGAGACCTGAGAAAAGTATCCCCCAAATGCAGATCCATGCAAAGGTGTCAGATCAACTCCATAATAGCTTTGTTGCTGCCAAAAGAGGGCCTGCATCGACAAAACCAATAATAAGAAAAACACTACAATATATTTCAACACACACTAATGGTAAGAATAGACAACAGTATAATCAAAAGAACTCATGATATCAATGGGAAAACTTGACTACAATCACTACATTAGGCATATGAAAATTAAGCAATCCACCTATCAGTATTGACTTTTTAAAATTGTCGCACTGCTACAAAGAGGATTAGAGGCTGCATCAAGTTATTGATAAAATGATTTCAGCATAATTGATCCCAGTACATACCTTATTCGCAATTTCAACAAATAAATATTCATCACTAAAAGGTGCCATGTGTATCCTGCAAAAGCAAGCAATTTTAACTAAATAAAATCTAAAATAACAGATCAATTAAATTGGGGTTTAAAGACACTTGGTTCTGGAGCCCAAGAAAATACATGCATATAGATACAAAATTATACAATGACCATCAAGAGTAAACTACACTTCAATATAAATAAAATGCATGCAGCTATGCGTGTGTATATATATATATATAAGAAAAAATAACATTCTGAAAAGCTGGTGGCAACAACAAGCATATTTTACAGGTCTGTCTCTAAGAAGGAAAAACAGATCCAACCATTACCAACAGGGCTTCTGACCTGAAAGATTCTGATTGCCCAGAAAAATACTTCAAATAAAAACATAAATGGACCAGGCTTTACAAGAAGAATTGGGAAGAAACAGTCAAAAGAGTCGACAAGATTGTGCCATCACTTAAGTAAAACAGAAATGGGAATCAATTTATCCATCAAATAAGAAAAGCATGAAAAAATAGACTATACCTACAGATATTACGTGAAACAAGCAGATCTAGATGAAGATATATACCACCACTATCATGAGATTACTTCCCAATGTGAAGTCATCTAGCAATTGCATGAGAACAAAACTAAGATCAAAGAAATCAAGCGGAGAAGGAGCATTGAAGAGTCACTATTTACCTTCCAACTGTAGGAAACATTTTTCCATTTGGGCCAAGAAACCGATCTCTTGCAATCACATAGGACTCCAACATTCTTTCATTGACTAACAAGGTACCTAAAAGACAAGTCCCAGAAAAAGTCAAATATAAATTTGGACTTGCTATCCACGGTCACTCAGGATATTGTCTGTCAATTCATTCAATCCCGGAAACGTTTTATCTTTTTGCTCACAAAACTCATCCCCATGCCAACAGGAGAACGAGCATTCAGGGCTTAAAATAACAGGCAAAGAAAAATCTATAGATGGAAAAAAGGTGTTCAGCACTATTAGAAAATTTCACTGTCCACTGGAACGACAAAGTAAAGATGGTGTATAAGTTTACCCATTGGTTCAGAGATCAGGATATCTGCTTTCTCTGGCAATTCAACTTCCTCAACTTTACCCTTTATTACCTACATTCACATGACACGTCAACTTAAACAAAATGAGATAAACAATGGTATCTATGAAAAATTTATAAGTACATGAAATAGCAAAGTCGCACTGTTATCCTTTCCCCAAGTGATGGGTTTCCAGCAATCAGTTTCCGGGCATACTCTGCCATTTCAGATGCCTCAATGGCATACACATGTTTTGCACCAGCCTGATTGGAGAAAAGGAACACATAATTAACTTACAGAAGTACATCCAGAAAAGTAGGGATGCAAGATTTTTGCACTGGGCATGATAAATTCAACTAGTCAAAAGACAAGTATACCTGAGCAGCAAATAATGACAAAATACCACTACCAGCACCAACATCAACCACCACGCGACCAAAAAAATCTGCACGGTTCTCAATGACTGCAGCATAGTAGGTTCCTGAAAAATAAATTTTTGCTTGCCATTGTCACACTCACCATCTGACTAACTCACATGTCCATTATAGAGTTACCTGTCTTTGCATTTTGACCACATGCAGTAAACTAGTGAACATCGTGATTTGTGAGGCTTTGTCAAGCTTAAGAAATTGAAAGTGAACATCTACGATAAAATAGAAATAAGTACCAGAATAGTTAGTGATTTAACCTGTCCTCACATAATCTTGTAGCATGTTCTGCTGGTGTAGCAATTGCCCATAATAATGGAAATACATTTTGGCAGATGATGGTTCTATTTTATCGTCAAACTTGCTTTTACAAGCCATGACTGGTCCATTAGGTAGCAATGCTCCTGGAAAAGAAAATAGCCATCACTCAGAAGCAAATCGCTGGTACTTATGGATTAGGAAATAAGTTATTCTGACAATTTCACAAAACAAAGGATAAGTTAACATGAGATCTTTGTCTGTTCTGTTTTGCTTGAAGAAGACTTCCAAAACGCTTAAAATGCTAGATGGACGAAATAAAAGTTGAAATCCTAATCCAGACATAAATTGCAAATAAGGATATTATTTTTCCATTTTTAAGGTACGTGTTTCAAAGGACAGAAACTATTACAAATTTTTCACAATCAAAAAATGCTAAGTTCCTCCCATTTGGATATAGTTATACGTGTATGACAACATGCAACTTGAATCATTTTAATACATCTTGGAGATCCAACTTCCATGATTCTGCATGCATTTGTAGGCAAACTTCTAGCAAATAACCACTATCAAAGGGATGCAATCAAAAGACACAAACTTTAGTGGGAGAGAGAAAGAGAAGAAGAAGAAGAAATGTAGGGGAAAATCAAGATATGTGCAAAGGGGTATCTCCATATGATACCAGACAACTATCTATAACAAACTGTTACAAAATATCCAAAGCAGCACCTTGAACAGTGACCTCCTTCTTCCATTGCTCAAATGCACAATGGAAGGCCCCGCTCTCCTCCTCATTTCTAAATTGGAAATTGACTCCTGTTGAATATTTCTGGTAAAAAGTAATACTGTTAACATTACAAATATAAAAGCTACATCATGTATGCAATTCCAATCACTGGTCCATTACATAGAAAAACAACTCATGAGAAGGGGTTTGACATGTTGCAAATTGCATATTGCATATCTATCTAAAGATAAGAGATACAAGCATTCACATAAGAGGAATCCAAGTGCCCCACTATTTCAGCAAGTAAAATTAGATAGGAACGGAAAACAGGTCCTCTTTCACTGCATATAGTAGGATAGAAAGGAAAAAATAGAAATATATAGTTTGAAATAAAACTCCCTACCTCTTTGCTCGAGTCAGCATCTGAAGCTTCAGTTATGCAAACTGATTGTAAAGGCCCTAGCTTGAATATCTGAAGAATACCAGAAAAAAAGAAAAAAGAAGAACACCGTCATATCTTATGCAATCATAAAATTCACCACTGTTTACAAATTGACCGAAAAACATCTTCAATTCTGTGATATTTAGCTCATCAATTAATACATTCCTTTACGATTTCTACCAATTGGCAACAACAATCAACAGAAACATGATTTTAATCTCTTTTTCTGCTTTCAGTTTCGCAACTACCTAAACAGTGACTTTAAAAAAATAAAAATAATGCTGCTATCGATCAATTCAATAGCCAAAAATCAACAAAGCAGACAATTTTACAACTAAAAATAGGCCGAAACACAAATGAAAATCTCAAATTTTCCAATTACTAAACCTAATTAAAAATTATTATCAAACACATCCACGTCTTTCTACGCTTTCTCGTTGACCAAAAACCAGTCAAATTAAAAAAAAATAAAAAATAAAAAAGAAACTAAGATTAACCACTGACCCGAGCAGTTTTGACATCCACAGTGATAGAATCATCAGAGTCTCGGTTAAATCGAAGCTCCGCAACTCCATTGTCGGCGCTAAACCTCGCAGTTACTGGTACAGATTGAGAACGTGAACAGGACGACGTAGTTGAAGAAGAAGCAAGCTCGGTTATTGATGCTAAAGCAAACTCTTGTTGTTGTTGTTTGCTTTGTCTTTGAATCTCCATTATTGAAACCTCTCAAAACTCAGAGATGGAGATTTTATTTTTATTTTTATTATATTTATATGTTTATGTTTATGTTTATGCGGAGGTGTACAGTTGAGTGAAAATTAGGGTTTTACAAAAAAAGCGCGAAGCTGGGACAGAGCTTTTTTATTAGAGCCGTCAGGGAGCGAGGGGGAGGGAGGGAGAGAGAGAGCATAATAATAGCTATGGCTTTCATATGGTGGACAAAAATCATATATGGTCCCTTATGTTTTAATACTTTATCATGTCAATATCCATGTATTATTTTGGGTCAAATTGAACCTTTTATTTCTAATTTAAAAATAAATTAAATTAAATCTCTCCATCAAACTCATATGGATTTGATTAATATCACAAGTGTTATTCGGTGCATATTTATGACATATAAGTAGGTGGCTTAAGGATTGGTAAATTTTTAATTCGATAATAAGAGTGTTTTTAGTTATTTTTTTATATTAATTAAAATTAAATTTTTTTCTAAAACGATCTCACAATACACTTTCATATTGATTTAGTATATTAGAAAAAAATTAATAAATCTTTCTAAATGTTTACCTTAAAATTTGAACTTATAAAAATAAAAAAAACATTGCAAGTCTCTTTACCCACTGCCAAGCCAATTCTTTGAGATTAGAATTGGTAAATTTAAACTACATGGTTCAATTTGATGATAAATTTAGAGGGATTGATTGAACAAATATTAATACTTGATGAGACCATGTATGAGTTAAATTTAATCTTCGCAATGAGAGTTGATGATGTATCATGTAAGCCATTCGGAGGGAGTTTTGGTGTGTTATATGTGGTGGCAATATGTGAGGTGATGGACTTTTATTGGTGGGGTTACGGGTAGGTGAAATAAGCATTATTAGAGGTGATCATTTGGTTAAACAGTTCGTTAAGCTTAATTTGGTTTGGTTTTCGATTAACTAAATTAAAAAAATAAAAACCAAAATTAATTTGTTTAATTCGGTTTGAAACCGAATTAATTTCAATTCGATTTGGAAATAATTCGATTTAATCGAACTTTTTCTGTAAGGAAAAAAAACAAGTATGTATTTGGATTCTCTAACTAGTTATTTCACCATATATGTTAGTTATATGCTTAGTTAAGCTATTGTGGAACTAACCTTTTTCATTGAACAAATTCAAATTTCGATGATTTTAATTTCTTGAAAAGATTATAATATTGTATATCTCGAGTTAATTAAGTATTCCATAAACAAATAAATTAATCATGATATGCTACAAAAATAAAGCGTGGTTACTCAATATTGGAGGCATTGGCCATTAGGCATGAGATTTTAATATTAAATTTCAAATGTTTCATGCAGTGAAGCATTTATGCTCGTGAAAGAAGAGGGATTCCTCGTGACCTCAAAATATGTTTTTCGTGCGATGAAACATATTTGTCAAGTTAGTTGAGTTCTTCATTCCTCAACACATTATCAAAAACTTAATGGGTTATCCATCTAATAGGTGAAATACAACCTTCTTACCCGTACAATCGATTGATGCCCTATTCTTAGATAGAAAGTCCATACCAAGAATAATATCAAAGTCTCGAAGACTCAAGACTATAAAGTTAATATGTAGGGTACGAGTCTCTAATTTTTATTTCACAATTCCTAATCACGAGCATTAGATTCTAGTGACTCTCCGGATGGGAGTGCCACCTCATAAGTCATGTCGAGCATTTACGGAACTATGCCTATTTGTATCATCAATGAACGTGCAATAAATGAATGCGTGGCACTTGAATCTATCAACGCATATGTGGTGTAGTTAAGGATCGAAACATTACCGCATATAACATTAGCATCGTCCTTATTCGCTTCCTCATGAGTCGTGGTATACACGCGTTTAAGTACACATCGTCCTTCGGTTAACTTCCTCTTTGGGTAATTATTTGCTAACTATCAAGCCTCTCGACGTAAATAACTCATGTTGGTACCCATTAAACAATTTTCCGTATGTGGGTGTCCGCACTTTGGATATTTTAGAGTACCGTGATCCTCGGTCCTTTGAAACTTAGTCGGTGTCTTACCTTTCTTATTGTCTTTCCTCTAGTTTGGATTGAAAGGCCTCTTTCTATTAGGTTATCCTTCAAATCTGTTCGGAGGAAGTGGCGAGTATACGAGTGGTTTCTTTTTGATCCACTTCGACTCCAAGCCGCCTTCGCACCATGTCCTTATAGGTGTCGATCGACATCCGGATAAAACTTCGGATCTCGACTCGAGGCCATGAAGGAAATGCTCATTCTACCTTTCCTCGCTTTCAATAATGAATATGGCATAGCGATAATCATGTTCAAATTTACAAACATACTCCATAATTGATATGTCTCCTTGCCTAAGTCTGGAGGAACTCCCGGATTTTGTAGGACCTCATCGTATCGAAAAAATACTTTTTCATTAAACGAGTCCTTAAATTAGTTTCACGTGGTCCCCTCATCTCTTAGTGATGCTTTTACGGTTTCCCACCAATTATATGTATCGGCAGATCAACATAAAGGTGGCACACGTTACTCGGTCCGCATCACTCATATCCAGATGTTTGAAAATAAACTCTACAAACTCGATCCAATCTTCCGCTATATTAGGATTTGGTCCGCCCTTAAATTCCTTTAGATTGAACCTTTGGAATCACTCGACCATATCAGTTCTTTATAGTTGACAAGCTTTGATTGGACCGCATCAAGTTACTTCCAAAATTCTCTCGCATATGTTCCTCATGCCTCTCTTGTTACCATTCCATCATCTCCTGCTACCTCTTAGCGAGCTCCATCAATTCTCCTTCTTGGTCACCCGATACTCGACTCGACCCCGTCTTACCACTAGTGTTATTATTATTAACTCGCTTGGGTGGCATAACGTATACTTCTTTTACATTCACACATACACAATATTAGTATTCTTTAAATCATCCATATCACATTAAAATTTTACTTCCTACATAACATCACATCGGTTTCATTCATAACATACACAACAAACAATTTAGACATCCAAATTTTTCTCCTTGGAATTTCTTGAGCTTCTAACTTGTTTTCCTTGCTTAGTGAGGTGAATTAAGGTGTGTAGGAGTGTTTAGAGTGGTTTTTAGATAGGAAATCCTAAGAAAAGTTTACAAGAGTTTCCTTTAGGTTTAATGATTTTTATGCCATTTTCTTTAATTTCATGCATACCTATTTATAGGAAAATTTTTGGTGGACCTTTGACTTCATCTCCACTATTGAATTAAGGTATTCTTGGAGGGATATTGGCCATCAAATTAAAATTTAATCCTAGCCCTTTAAGTGGTTAAATCTTAAACCTTTGATTTTTCTTTTAATCCTAATTCATCCATCTTGTATGCTTACTAACTCCATCTTTTTTAACAAGTCAAAGTGCATTAATTAGGGTCTAATTATGCTTCAAATGTTGACTAGAAGGTGGTGGAAGTGTCCAAAAGTTTTTTTCTAAATTTTAGTCCCTCATTTTTTTAATCTTTTCTCTCATTACTCCTCTCACCATCCTTCAATTTTCCAATTGGTCACTTTAAGGCCTTCCCCTAAAGGTATCTTAATATATTTTAAACTCCTTAGGTTCATGGCGACTTTAATTTGAAAGTTAAAACTTTTAATTTTATGCAATCTAGTCCCTAATTTCTATGCAATTAGCCCTCTAATTCTAAAATTTTGTCCCATACCTTTCAAAATTTTAATTTTTTTTCAAAATAAATTAAAAAATTTATCAAGAAGAATCAACCTAATTTTTTTCATAATTTTTAGATCCCATTTAAGCCTTTAAATTAATTATTTCATTCAAAAACTATTATTCACACACCAAAAATCATTAAAATATTTTTTAAGCATGGAAAGCCTATTTTGACCATTCTAAATATCTCTCCTAGTCTTTAATAATTATTTATTATTCTCAAGATATTGTTTCACATAGGTTTTTATATTAAATTTTTATTAAGTTCCTATTTTAGTTGGTACCGACCATTACATGTGACTTCGACTTGTAAGGGGTGACGGGTGAGCACACTTGGAGAGTGGAGCCCGGAGGCTCGGAGGACCTGGAGGAGTGGAGTGGAAAGTGGAAGAGGAGGGAATGAAGTAAAGGAGCCGAGGAGGTTTGGTCATTTGGGAAGAAGACGAAGTAGTGAGTCGGTGACCAATGAGATGATGAGAAGAAAGTTGAAAGAAAGAGTGAGAGATGAGGCTGGAGGTCGGAGGACCTGGAGGAGTGGAGTGGAGAGAGAAGGAGAAGGGAATGAAGCCAAATGAGCCGTGAGGTTTGGTCTGTTTGGGAAGAAGATAGAAGCGTAAGGCGTCGGTTAGTTAGGACTTAGGGTTAGGGATGTAGAAATTAGAATTAGATTAGGAATAAATTTTGGTTTTTGGTTTGAACTAATTTTGTTTTTCAAAAACCAAACCGAATTGAAATAAATTTTGATTTTTCAATTAGGTTATAAATTATAAAATTCAATATCGAACCAAATTTCATAATTCGGTCTAGTTGTATTCGATTTTTGATTAATCGAACAATTTGCTTACCCCTAAGCATTAAGGAATGTTAGGCTATTTGATTGGTCCGGGTGTGGATCCGAGAAGATGGGTCGAAGTAGGTTTGCTTGAAATTGGAGAGTGGATATATTCGGCCACCCAAGACTTTTGAGCAAGGGGAGAGTATAAGTGTTTGTAGTGTTACCGATTCCATTCCGTACCGATCAAAATTTTTGGTATGCTTCATACTAGTCAAGAAATCAAAACACCTAAACCTCCATTTTGTTTTGCTCCTTATCTCGAGTTACTCTAGAAATATCATTCGGTTTGTCTCGGTTGTTCCAATCGTATCTCGTTACGGTTGTTTGTCTCGATTGTTCCAATGGTATCTTATTCGGTTGTTAAAATGAAATGATAAGCTCACATTTACCAAAATAAAAAATGATAAAAGCTACCTCTCTCTCTCTCTCTCTCTCTCTCTCGGGCATCGAAAGAGAATTTGAATACCAATACATTAACGGATTCAAAATCTAATGCCTTTAAAGCTTTAATGATTGAGTGTTATCTCCATCTCTCATTCTCTCTTTAATTCTATCTAAAAATTTTGATTTGAAGGAATTGAAATAAAACCTTGATTGGTTTGATGAGGGGCTTTGTTCTCATTTCTACCGGCGAGGTTCTCTATTTTGATCATACTTAATTTTGCTATCCGGAGCTTGCTACTTTTGTATATAGGAATCTAAGTTAAGGTGCAACCTAACATCATTGTAGTTGTTTACTTGTTAGATACACGTTTTAGGACATCACCAAATGCAAAACTTTATGGATTTTTCTTTTTTCTTTTTTTGTTTTAGAGGATTTTTTTTTATTGAAGCCAATCAAATTGGTTACATAATTTTTTTTCTCTTTCGACGATGTAAGAAGATAATTCTACAATAAAGTCTATGCTTGGATGGTCGATGTCTTTTGACGATAAACATGTTTTGGTTTTTAGATAGTTTGAATCAATTCAAACAAATGAATAAATTAATCACTCGGAAGCGGTGAATAAATTAATCACTCGGACCATTCATTAGTGTCATTGTTGACAACGCAAATACGTGATACTTGTATTTGTAAAAAAAACAAAAACAAAATGAGTGATATGGCTAAGAAAGCCAACGTATTAAGATATGAGGAAAAAAATATTGAGGGTTTTATCATGAACCTTGTTTTTTTTAATCCATAAGAACTATTTTTATGTCAAATTACAACAATTGGATCATATATATTTAACTAAGCGAAGCAAGAAAAGATGCATTATGAATGGTCTAATGAACAACAAAAAAGAACACATATATTAGGAAATAAAACAATTTAATAAAAGAAAAAAATTGTCAAATGAGCCCGTTAACAATTGAACACACACTTAAAAATGATATTAAAAAGAAGAATAAAAAGAAACATATTGCAACCGCACCCAAAACACTAACAATAGTAGAAACAAAACTATTGCAAGCACTCACAAAAAGCATTAAAAAAAAAAAGGAGTATGAAACAAAGACAATCTCTCGTCAAAAAATAGCACAATAACGCACAAACAAAATCTCCTAACACACATATAATATTTATATACCACCTTGGAGAAGAACATCTATTAATTTTGATAAAAAAAAATAAAAAGGAAACGCATGACAAACACAAAACTCTTAAAAAGAAAAAAAAACTTACATAAAAGAAACCTACAAACAGAATAACAAAATAATAAACTTACCAAACTAAAAAAAAAATACAATAAGAAAGCAAATATGGTACGATTATTTACTATTGTGAAGCCATACATCTCAAAAATGGCAACAAAATAGTAAAAGGCAAAGACATTAGGAATTGAAAGCTCTTAAAAATGACAAAAGACAAATACAAAACACCAATAAACCTAAAAATAAAAATCAAGCGTGCCATATTTAAGAACTCACTAAGCAAAGCAATGAAAGATAGAAAACCTTAATGGTTGTAAATAGAGCACACGAAACTAATTGAAAACATAAAAAAAAAAAAAAACAAAATAACTTGGGTGAGGCAAATATGAGGATGATAACAAAACGCACACCAACCAAAGCAAAATAAGCATGAATCGAAACAACAAAAACTAAACAAACCGGAGGAAAAAAAAACACAATCGAATAGGCAAGTAAAAATGCGGGAGCGAAAGTTAAAAGCGTATGACAAACATACAAAACGCAATCATAGCACAATAATAGACATAAGTCGATAACCAAATGCATATAAAACCTTTAATAACAAATAACACATTTATCAACAATTAAAATACTTTAATGATATATAAAAAAATGAAGGATGTGGTAGTTAAAAACATAATGCATTTGAAAAAAACATTCAAAAAACAAAAAATAATGCATTGAAGGTGCACCTAAAAAAGCCATAGAGATAGATACAAAGGTATCACAAACACTAACGAAAAGCATAAGAAACAATTTAAGATCGTAAAAGATAAAAGAAGAAAATAAAGACGACCTATGTCAAAAACATCATAAGAACACCAAAGAAAAAATCTCCTAAATATCATTATGAAAAAGAAAATAATTTAGTTTAAATAAAATAATAAGAGACAAATACTTGACAAATGGAATAACATAAAAGGAAAAAAGTCAAGACCAAAAGGATAGATAAAAGACGAGACTTAAAAGTAGGCAAAAAGAAGTAGAAACATTGCTACTAACCAAGAATGGAAAAAATGAATGAAAAAAAGGAGAAGAAATTAGAAAGAACCTACGTTAGAAAGAGAACCGAACTCCCAATAAAAAAAGAGAGGTCAAACTTGCACTATACACAAAATAAAAAAAAATGTTAAAAATCGTGAGAAAAAAGACAATGGGCGCAAAAACCACATTGTGTGAGGAAAAATCAAAAGCAATCTCAAGAATCAAAGGACAAAAAAAAAAAAAAAAGAAAGGAAAAATTGTAATTTCCTAATAAGCCACCAATCAATATACATGTCTATTCAATTAGGTAAAGTAGGAAAAAAGAGGGCAAAACAACAACAATGAACAAACAATAAAATCAAAGCACTTACATGGTTGTAAAAAAATTAAATAACGCCCAAGATAGCTAACCGAAAGTAGTAAAAAGAAGCAAAAAAATTGTCCTAACACTAGGCGAGTAAGCAATAAATAAAAAATACCAATCTTTTTCGAAACTAACCAAACCCAATCAAAAACATTTGAGAGGGGATGCCAAAGAGGCAATAATGAGAATCTCCGTATAATTTTTCAAAGAAGAAACGAACCCTCCACCCAAAATAACCATTCTTAAGCCTTCGATCGATGGAAGTGTCTTTGGCAAGTGCACTAACGGGAGAAAAATAAAGAACAAAAGGAAGGGAAATAGAAAAAAGGTATAAAACCATTAATGTCAAGCATTGAATGTTTAGAAAATGATCAAATAGAACTACAAAAAAGAGCACACAAGTGAGAAAGAAAAGAGAATAAGTAAAGAATGATAAAGTAACATAATAACCATCCGATGGCATAAAAATAAACATACAATAAAAGGGTGGGAAACCAAAAACTTATAAAAAAAACAAAAACAAAAAAACATATAAGACATTCAATAATGAGCGAATTCAAGAACTAACAATGAAATAAATGACCTATAATAAACAAACAATAACTCAAATGCAACACAAAATAGCGATACATGAGACATTCGTCCACAATCCAAATGAATCATAATGAATAGTTATTGAATAGTAAATCCCCCAACTCTTTTAGTGTTTTTTTAATATGCTTTCAAGGTATTTGACAATCTATCTCTTTAAGATTATGAAAAAAATTGATGACCTATGGACATATAAATATAATGTGTTATAATGTACATAAGAGTAATAATAATTTTATTTAGCTTTCAAGTTGATTCATATAATGAGGTCCTAAGGTGAATTGCATCTTTAAAATTAAGAGCAAATTATAAGCTCGGTCTATGTAAGTTTCAAGAAACAAATTAATTATTTATCCTTATTTCAAATCTAATATTTAGTCTTTATATATATATTTTTAAAAAAATTGTAACTTAATCCTTTTCGTTCTTTTTAATTTTTAATTTTTTTTAAATATAGAAAAGTAAAAAAAAATTAAAGGATTGATGAGAAAATATGACATTTTATGAAATAAAGTAATATTAAATTAATTGTGATCAATATTGATTAATGAACAAAATGATTAATTTTTGAAAGTAGAGAGACTAATTTATTCATTTCTCAAAAATATTAAAATTGGGATAAGGCTGATAAGTCTATCTTCATTATTAATCTCCTTCAAGTTTAGGCTAATATGATTAGCCTAGACTTGAAAACTGTTGACTAGAGCATTTTAAGTGGTATTTTTCTTCATCGAGGGAGAAGAAGCTAAAAGAGTACTTATGTAACGCCTCGCCCTGATCATATTTCTACTACCCAAGTAGAGTACTAGACGAAGTGCATTACGCCGACATACCCTAAACTCTAAGTAGTTCTCTTATGATATTCTTAAAACTTTAACAAGCACATTACGTATATAACTCATTAAGATAAAATTTACATCATATAATTAAATACATTAATAAAATATTACGAGCAATATTCAATTTCTCACGAACTCCATACCTCAAATTTACGAGCAAAATAAAAACTAATATATGGTGCCTTACATGAGCCGATTAGGAGGAGCCAGCCGCATCTATACCAACTTGTCCTTTTTCAGTCACGACATAAAAAAAATAACAACAGTGAGTCGAAGCTTAGTAAG